AAGATTGGAAAGTTCATTGCAGCTGTGACTCAGGAGCACATTTAGTCAAATGCGATATTCTTGACTCTCTATACAAGTCACTTCTCATCACAGTCCAACAAGAACCAACTTAAGGGAGGAAAGATCTGTTTTTGCTTCCTGGTTTGAGGGCAGTGCATCTTAGTGGGGAGGGCATGGCAGGCAGCAGGTGGACCCGTGGTGGCAAGAGCTCATGGCAGCTGCTTGCTTACATTTGTGTGATTCAAGAAGCCGCCAGGTAATAGGAAACAGGGTCTGGCTATGACCACCCTGACCCTTCTCCATTACTCACTCTCTCCAGCTAAGGCCCATCTCCTAAAGGTTCTATAACCTCCCACATGTCCTAAAAATCTACAAACTGAGCTTATGGGGGACATTTTCTATTCAAACTGTAACACCTCCTCAACTTTTATTTACTCTTGTGAAGTGCTCTATCTTGGGGGAAGATTCTAGAGGAATTGTTGTTCATTCTCTATGACAAGGAACAGGAAAGATTATATGAATGGCTGTGGCAAATGTGTTTCATAGATACTGTTTTATTTTTACTTAATGAGATGAACAATGCTATGAATTCTAAAAAGGACTGTAATCCAATTTGAAATTTACTCCTTTGTTAAACAATTTTGAATCTATAAAACACATTTTGGCCTTTTAAACATTCTATAGCAATTAAAATTCATGTTTTATGGCTATGAAAGGAAATACTAGAAGACGTGAAATAATTCAACTGATATAATGAGGCAAAATTATTAACATGAGACTATCCATATTCATGCTCTCTGATTGTTCATTTAATTAAATTACCAATTCCATTCTTCCTTGACGCCTTAAGATGGAAATTCTTGCTAGAAGGATATTTAGCAGATACAGAAAATGCTACACTGAGTGAGAGGAGGGAGTACTTTTTGGTGGGAGGTGGGGTTTGAGATGTTTACTGTGTGAGAAAAGTGACTATGTTTGAACTAGTGTTTTCATAAGTTTACAGATTATACGTCTCTCAACCAGTTGGTTATCCAATACCAATTGGTCAGTCCCTAAAACATACATACAAGTAACAATATATAGACTGAGAAAGGTGTATCTATATACTTCAGAATATATATGAGGACACACATGTATGTAGCAATTATTAATGTAGCACTATGTGCACTGAGAAGGGTGTATCTATATATTTGGGAATATATATGAATATACACATGCATATAGCAACAATTAATGAAACAAAAAGACCATGCATTTGAAAGAGAGTTGGGGAGATTTATGGAAGGGTTTGGGTAAAGGAAAGAGAAGAGGGCAATTATGTAATTATATCTCTAAAAATTAAAAACATCAATCATATTTTAATTTTTCATGCTGTTGAAATGTGCCTCTTTCAACACAACACAACTCTATCAGTTAACTGCATAATACTAAGATATTTGAGGACGACCATGTAAAGGAACATTAGAAAACAGTTTCAAAAACTGTTCAGAGATCACTTCAGGGTCAAATTGGACTTTTGCTTTCTAACTCTTCAACCATCCACTTGACATTAATAAGTGCCTTTGCGTACTAGAGGTATAGGGCTAAGGACATGATCCATGCCCTGAAAAGGGTCCCATTGGCTCCCAGATATCTGCTGTAGCTCTGAATAGATCCTAGGAATACCTCTAGCTTATGGACTTGAGAGAATTGAATCTAAGACCCTATCAGTTGATTGTGACATGATTTCCTATCTTTCTACACTGTACTTTCAATTCTATCCTCTCTGTCATATACTTTCTTTTCAATTGTTTATAACCTTTAGATGGAATCCAGATGTTCTCAGTATAAGCCCAATACACTTAATGAGGGATAGAGAACATGACCATCATAGTTCCAACATATCATGTGAAGTACCTAATTAACAATTTCCTTTATTTAAAGCAGGGAAGCTGAATTTTTTTTTAAACCACTAAAATGAGCTACAAGAACTGCCACCCTTCTTTCCATAGTAGTAATGTGCAAACAGATAAACTGGGTCAGCCTGTAAATTAGTAACTTGGAGATCTTTCTAAAATATCAGACATGAAAGCAAATGCTAATAATAATACCATATTAAGGCAAGAGGGCCATGAGTTGTAGGTAATCTGAGATATGTAAACAGCTCCCAACTAGACTTAGCCAAATAGCTAGAACCTGACTCTAAAAATGCAAACAAAAGCAAAAATCACTTAAGTATATCTCTTGATTTAAAGGTCATATCTGAAGGTCATTTAAGCATAGAATAGCTTAGTTTTCTGTATACTTATTCTTCAATATCCTTATTAATAAAAATCTGTTTTAAAAGCTATGTTTATTCATACCAAGCAAACACAACAAACTACTCCAGAGCCATATGCAAGCAAAATATGCCCTTTTCTCTTTTAGCAAAGAGGTTGAGAAAATTAGCCAAGGCTGATGAACCAGCTGGGGGATATACAGGAATCAGGCTCAAGTCTTCTTGCTCTGCTATCAAAATGTAACAAAGCCTTTGTCCACATGATCACAGCATAGCTTCTTGCATCTAGGCAGAAAGGGAAGTAGCTGTTTTCCCTGCTGAGGCTTTATTTCAGAAGGGAAAACCCACACAGAGCCTAATGCCTGTGTTTCATAAGCCTGACAGGCTCACCTGACCTTCTCTAGCTGCAAGAGATTCTGAAAAGGTAAAGACATACTAGCATTTGTAATAGAGAAAAACGAAGGAAAACAGTGAACCTAATCAATAGCACCTTCCATGATGGCTTCATATATATATAAAACAAGGAATGTGCATATGCATATATATAAACAAGGAATGTCATTTCCATTGTATCTCTCCTCTGTAGTCTGCTGATTTCACACTAACATGCTGAAATTGTAAAGGCATGGATTCTTTAATTTACAAAATGTTGTGCAGTTATATTGAAATGATAATTGGAATTTTTAACTTTCATGAAAATTTAAGACCTTGATTCCATACCTTATTTAATAGAACTTCATACTTTCAGCTAATGAACACAAAGGTTTTTTTTTTTTTTTTTTCTTTTCTTTTTGTATTCTGTCATGGTAACTATTGGGATTTTTCCTGTTTCATCTTGAGTGCAAATTTCTCTTTTTCTACAGATGTTCTGCTGTTCTGAGCTTTTTCTCTTTGTGTCTGAGAGTAAGAATTGCACCTGAATTATAGAAAGGAGAAAACTGTCGATACACAAGTTGGCTATGTATTTCTCTTTCCTTTTTTCAGGCGTATTTCATCCTAACTCTGATTCATTGAGTAGCTACATTCCGGCAGCTACCCATGCCAATCACGTACACCCTGATTACTAATCATGAGCCTTAGGATACCATACAACTCAGTAATGAGCACATTTTAATGCTGGCCAGTGCTAATTAGATGATAATCATGTGCATTATTTTATTTACAGTCTATCCATTTAAATTAATTGAGCATTTAATTGAACACAGTTTGAAAGAAATTGAAATTGGGTTTGGTTGTTTTTTGAAGTTCCTTTCACTTGCCATCTCATATGCAGGTGAGATTATTCATTTGCTCTCAAAATTCACAGAAATACAAATGAACATAATGCCTGGTTTACAGCGGTGCCTGTGGATATGCAAATTGATCTCAAAGTGTGCTTGGAAACAGCAATGAGATTCACAGCTCTTCTTAAAATCTCTGCTGACATCTTCCTGTGGCCTGATTACAGAGAGATCTGCATGCATAAGAAGGCAATATATGTATATATAATCAACCAAACCCTTAGGTAAATGTGTGAGATTAGAGCCAAAGGCGACTGTGTGAGAATATTCTAATCACTTCTTATTTTTTAAAAAAGGTGGATAGTTTAAAAATTATATTTATTTCTTTAGTGTGTGTATGATTTGGTGTACATGTACACACAGGATAGCCTTTGTACACACATGTATGCACCACAGCTTGTGTCTGGAGGTCAGAGGACACCTTGTAGAAGTCTATTATGGTTCTCTCCTTCCACTATGTGGGACCTGAAGCTCAAATTTGGGTTGTCAGCTTGGCAAGCAAGTCTTTGTTCACTGAGCCATCTCACCGATCCACTGATATTTCTTAAGACAGAAAATTATTTAACTCTTAAATAATAAATATATGGCAAACGATTCTTTGTTTTGTTTTTCTTTTTGGTTTTTCGAGATAGGGTCTCTCTGTGTAGCCTTGGCTATCCTGGGACTCAGTCTGTAGAGCAGGATGGCCCCTGACTTACAGAGATCCACCTGCCTCTGCCTCCCAAGTGCTGGGATTAAAGCACGTTTGCCGCCTGGCCTGGCAAAAGAGTCTTAGTTGGGATGCCACGTCTTTTCCTCTTTTCCTCTACTGGGACACAATATCAAATATTCCAGGCTCCCCGTTTCTAAACGAGTACCCCACTGCCGAAAGCTGCACGTTTGTAGGCAGCTCTGAATTGCAGGTGTCCTTTCTCTGAGGTGTTATTCAATGCACGTGCAGAGCAGACCCAGAGTACTTAGAGTCAAAAGAGCTGTTGGACAAAAGGATCTGGAAGTCGGTTGTATCATTAGGCTTCTATCACTGTGCTGAACACCACCACAGGAGTAACTTATCTGGTCCGGTCCGGTCCCTCTCATCAGTCCTTAGAAGTACTTTATTTAAAAAGACAACCTTTGTTCAGTCCTCATGCACACCACACAAACGTCTTCCTTAGGAAATAGACAACCTCCCAGCAAACGGCCCATCCTCTGAGATGCAAACCTCAACAAGTGAGTTGTATTCTTCCCTATTCAAGAGTGGAGGACGAGCCTGTGTTTACCATGGGACTTAGTCCCCCTCAGCAATCATTTATTCTGGAGCTTACTCCCCCGCCCCTTTTTCCAACATCAGAGGCATTCATGCCTTCCCAGGGTGGCAGCTTCCAAGAATTCTGGACCTTGAAGGTTATTTACTAGGAAACCCTGAAGATAAATAACAACAGCAACAATAATATATTTCAAAATATCACAGCTCAGTCTTCCCCTGTTGGCAGTTATTCATTTATTGGGCTTGCGAAGACAAAGTTATGAGCAGGATGAACTTGGAAGGAAGATGGAATAAGTGGAAGATGTTGAGATGACAGTATGGCCCATGGGAACCAGGCCCTAAGCTATTCTGATACTCAACTATTAAAATTTCTTTTATCGTGAGAGTTTTTGTGTGTATTTAGTGCTTTTTTGTGTGTGTGTGTGTGTGTGTGTTACAGCATGGCCTGGTGCTTTGTATTCAGATGTTAATTGCTTGCCCCCCTGAGATTCTTACTGTTCTACAAGCAGACTATCACATATCTGAAATGATGGTTGTGAAGTTTGCCTCTCAAATTCTCTCTGATTAGCTGAATAAAGTTGCCTACATACCCAGGCAGATCAGAAGCGAGGAGGCACAGCTAAGGTTTGAGGGCTTGGAGGACAGAAGGATCACAGGAAGGGGAGATGAGAGAGAGACGGAGAGGAGAGGAGGAGGCAGCGCAACCATGGGTTATCGTGAAAAAAACAGCACGTGGCTGGGAGGAGCCTGATCTGAGGATCGGTGATGGAGAGAAGCAATCCCAGATGAGAGACACGTGCAAGCGTTTATGGGATACTGGATGGGAAGCAGCCCAGCTAGGAATTATTAGAGCAATCGGCATGGGATGTGGGCTGGGAGGTAACAAGGTGAATTAGGGGTTTATATCTGCCCAGCTACAGTGCATAGGCGTATTAAAATCTAAGAGGTGCCGGAGTCTTTTATTGATATGGCATCAGGTTAAATAATAACCAGTGTAGTAATAATAGGCATTAATAATAACTGTTAATAGCCCAAATTCTTACAACGTGTGTATGTGTACATTTTTCATAGAGCAGATTGACTGGATACATGTTGTTGAGCTGTAGGGTGATGTGCGTGGCTGGGAAAATTTCCTTGATATCTCCCTAGCCATCAGACCATAGTCTCACACTGGTTCTTCCTCTCTTGTGTACGGCTCACCCCTTCAGCTGTGTTTTGTGTCTCTACACTCCAACCTGCCTGTGAGCAAGAGCAGCAGGAACTAGGCTTCTGGGACTGGGGAAGTGCTGCCAGCCTGCTGCAGGAGCGGGCTGCACACCCACAAAATGTACACAGGTTTTCAGCCCCTTCTAACTTGGGGCTCATCTATCCCTCTGCCTCCTCTTTCCAGAAGGCCCCTGAGGCTTTTGTGTCCTAGCCGTGGGAGGGGTACTTGGGAGGACATGGGAAGCCTGCAGGCTTTGCCTGACTAACAAATTATATGTTGATTTTCTTTCGTCTTGGAAATCCGTTGTCACATATTTAGCTCGCACATTTTTTCCTGCCATCATTTTGAAATTTTCTTTATTCCTGAGACTACTTGCCTTCTTTGATACCATAAGAAGTGTTGTTTAGTGGCATTCTGAAGGAAATGACAAACTTAAATGTTTTTCTACTATTTTTTTACTAGATTTTTATGTGACAACTTTAGGAAGCTGATGCATTTTCATTCCATGGACAGGATTTCATAGGAGCAAGGGACATCAGGCAATAGGCACCAGGCAGGGAATGAAAAGCAGAAGTGCCAGGAGCCTTCCGTCCTTAGCTCTTGACCTTGATCTGGCTCGAAAAACAGTTGAGTGCAAATTACAGAGCAGGCTCAGTGTACCAGGAGCTTTCACAAACGCAAAAGATAGCTGTCTATCCTACAGGGAACTCTGTGCCCTCTCACCAAGTCCTAGATGGTGACAGCAATCAGCTCCTACCCAGAACAGCACTGGATGGTGAGTAAGCAGCTGCTTGAGCTCGGACCTTTCATTCACACTGGCGCTGGGTTCTCTCCTTTCTACATAGACATTTCAAACTGAAATTATTACGGAAGGTCACTCAAAATTAGCTTGGATTCCAGTGGATGACTATGTCTGCAAAGCATTAATACTTCTCTGTATAGCTACAACAACACGCAGCCCTCCTGTACTTGATGCACCGTGATCTGTGTATGAGGGTCTCCAGTCAGGTCAACTGATGGGGGCTCCAGTGATGACCAGCTTATAGTAGGCTCCCTTCTGCGCCATCAGTTCTTCATGGTTCCCCTTTTCAATCACTACTCCTTGAGACATGACAGCAATGATGTCTGAGTTCTGGATGGTAGACAGGCGATGGGCAATGACAATACAGGTCCGGCCCTCTCTGGCTTTGTCCAGAGCGATCTGCACTGTCTGCAGAAAGGAGGTGGAAAGTCAGTGCAAAGACACGGGGTTGTCCCCAGCCCACCACTGTGAGGGGCCATTTCAAATAGCACCTGAGGAACAACTCTAAAGACTGAACGCCAGGGGAGGGTAAGCAAGTGGCTGCTCGTGTAACGCATCCACGCTTTATTTAAATGGCAGCCCACGGCCTGAGAAAGTTCAGGGAAGCAAGAAGGAAACAAATACTAGGTCGCCATGAAGTTTTGCAATGCTGCACCATCTTGTTTACTAAGATAACACCAAGGGGAAAAGGCTGGGAGTGGTTAATCATTTCTGATATTCCTTTTCCACCAAGGGTGAAATGACACCCTTTAGCGCTCTGCAAAGTGGAATCTGGATTTTAAAGACATAGACCATGAATTCTGAATTTCATAGCTATTCTCCCCCCAACCATATCTTCTATTGTGGAAACCCCACAAGGCTACCACCTCCTTTTAGGTATTGTGTATGACCTACTTACTCGGTCACACAACTTGAAAACTATAATACATGCTATGTTTCAAAGATGACCTAAATTGTCTTGATTTATTTAAGAAAACTGATTATTTGCCTTTGGGGAAAAAAAAAGTCATTCAACCTAAAGAACCTTATAGAACAGTTATTTAAAGTAAGGGTTTTAAATTGGCAGTAGCCCTGTTAGACTATTATTTGTAGATCATTGTCTTTTGCTTCCAAAGAAAAATATTGTCTGTTCCTACTACAAATGAATAAGACAACTGAAAATAGTGTCATTTTATATGCCCAAATCTTCCAGCAAAGGTTCATCTCTAGGAACCCACGACTTTAGAAAATTAACACATACCTTTTCACTTTCCTACTATAAACGAACAAGACAACACACAGGGCGTCTAATGGAGGAAGAAAGGGGTGGGAATAGAGCGACATGGAGGGGACAGGAGCCCCACAAGGAGACCAACTTAAAAGATCTGAGTCCAGGGGGTCCTGCAGAGACTGATGCACCAACAGAGGACCATGCATGGAGAGGACCTAGACCCCTTGCTCAGATATGGCCTTTTGGCAGCTCAGTCTCCTTATGGATCTCTGAGTGAGGGGATAAGGGACTGAACTCAGCTGACTGCTCTCTGATCACTCATCCCTGATGATGCAACCTTGCCAAGCCATGGAGGAAGAGGATCCAGGCAGTCCTGATAAGACTTGACAAGCTATGGGCAGATGGCAATAGTGGAGAACTCCCCCTTTCAGTGGACTAGGGGAAGGGGTTGAGGAAAAGAGGAAAGGAGGGTGGGGCTGGGAGGAGTTGAGGGATCAGGCTTTAATCCGGATATGTAATGAATTGTGAAGAAAAAAAATTAAAGAGAAAATAGTGTCATTTTAATGTTTCCAGCAAAGACTCATCTTTAATAACCTAAGACTTTAGAAAATTGATACATACCTTTTCACTTTCTGTGTCTAAGGCAGATGTGGCTTCATCTAGTAGCAAGATTTTAGGATCTCGTACGATGGCCCGAGCAATAGCAATGCGTTGTTTCTCCCCTCTAGAGAGTCTAGAGCCCTGGATCCCAACAGTAGTTTCATATTTCTAGAAAAAGCATAGCAAGTTTGAGAACTAGAGACAGCCATTGCTCTTGTACTGTTGGGACCCCACATCAACGACTCATCTGTGAAATCAAATTTTGTTTCTTTTTTGAATGTAGAAATAGTGATTGAATCCAATAAAATATATCAAATCTAGTTAGAAATATTTAATGTATGAAGTTTGTTCTGGGAAATGAGGGATGTTATTGCCAACTCTACATTTCTTTAAGGGTTATATTTTTGGTCTCTTCCTGTATCCAACTAAGATTCCCACATAAGAGGTCTTTCTCGGTTTGAAATTCTCTGATTTCTAGACTTTCATTCAAAGATCTTTTGTAAGATAGGCTAATCCCAGGGATAGAGATGCCTTGAAAAACTTTCCGGTTGGCTCCTTCCCTTGAAAGTACATTCTGAGATCCGTGCGCGGCAGGAGCTCAATTGTGATGGCGGCAGGTACCCGCCGAGGTCGGAGAGATATATAGACCTATAAGATATAATAAACATAATGAAATCTGTACACCTAAAAAAGATAATCAAGAGAGTGGACATGGGGTAAGATGATCAATCCTCGTTTAGAATGACAGATGGGATGTGCATTGAACGTATGACAGGAGTCTACTGAGCGCATTGGAAAGACTCTAACTAGCAGTGTTTTCAAAGCAAAGACTCATGACCAAACCTTTGGCAGAGTACAGGGAATCATAAAGAAGGGGAGTTAGTCTGATGAGGAAAGGATAGGAGCTCCACAAGGACCAAAGATATCTGGGCACAGGGTCTTTTCTGAGACTGACATGCAACCAAGGACCATGTATGAATGCAACCTAGAACCTCTGCTCAGATGTAGCCTGTGGTAGCTCAGTAACCAATTGGTTTCCCATAGTGAGGGGAACAAGGACTATTTCTAACAGGAACTCAATGACTGGCTCTTTGGCCTCCCCACCCCCCAAAGGGAGGAGCAGTCCTGTTAGGCCACAGAGGAGAGCTTTGCAGCCAGTCCTGAAGATACCTGATAAAACAGGATCAGATGAATGGGGAGGAGGTCCCCCTATCAGTGGACTTGGCAAGGGGCACGGTGGAGAGGAGGGAGGGAGGGAGGGACTGGGAGGGAATGAGGGATCGGGACACGGCTGGGGTACAGAGTTAATAAAATGTAACTGATAAGAAAAAAATAAAATACAAAAAAATAAATAAAAAAAAGAAAAAAAAAAAAAAAGAAAGTACATTCTGGGAGGCAAGTCACAGTTTGAACTTATACTCTGTTGCTTACTGGCCTTGCAAACATCAACAACTTGTTTAAATATCTTTGAGCCACACTCTCACCTGAAAAATGTAATGTTAGTACCTAGCATACATATTTGCTATAATTTTTTGATGAAATTAAGAAATAAAATGTCTAGCTAGATCAGAGAATTTCAAGCCAAGAAAGACCTCCTATGTGGGATCTTAGTTGGATACTGGAAGAGACCAAAAATATAACCCTGAAAGAAATGTAGAGATGGGAATAACATCCCTCATTTGCCAGCATGGCTAAGTTGAGTCTTCATCAAAGATTGTCCTCCTCTTCTATTACCTCCTCTTTCTCTTCCTCCTCTTCCTCTTCCTTTTTTAAAGACAGGGTGACAAGGTCTTACTGCATAGCCCTGTCTGTCCTGAAATTCTCTACATAAAACAGGCTGGCCTCAAACTCACAGAGATCTGCCTGCCTCTGCCTCCCAAGTGCTAGGATTAAAGGTGTGTGCCACCACAGCTGGCTAATTAGTCTAAGAAGAGTAACCTTTTCATGGTGACACAAATGATATTCTTTTGATTTTATATATTATAAAACTAAGGCATAGAGAAGCAAGATAATTGCACAAAGACAAATAAGCAATAAACAGCAAATGTGAAAGTTTAGTACTGACTTAATCTAGTTTCTGATCCTCTGTCCTTGTTCATTACTCTAACCTGCCTGCCTAAAAAAAGTTCAACTAAGCCAGGAGAGACCGAAGAAAAAAATCATTGAAGCAAGCATTTCATAGGTACAGTATATTTTGTTATCATGTTGTAAAATGTCTAAGAGCATTTTTAGTAGGAAAATACTCCATTAATATATTTTTTTTAAAATTCCTCTTGGCTTTTAGACATGCTGGCAAACACAGGTATTCAAAGCATTCTTTTGCTTTTCAATTTAGGGATTTCAGTATGCTTGCTAGTTAGGTTGCCCAGCTTAGAAACGGGACATGAGCACAAGATTTGAGGAAGCCTGTGAAAGGGCAAGCAAACAAGTCCACCACAAGTCCACAGTTTTCAAACGCAGCAGTCTACAAAGAACAGGAATTTCCAAGGGGTATTATTAAAAACAGGAGTGGGAAAAGCTACAGCCTCTAATTTAGAGTTCACATTTTAATTTTTCTTGTAGTTAAACAACCACCAAGAGAAATGCTCGGTGAATGGGGGAAAAAAATCATAGTGGAGACGGCCAAATGCAGACTTGGCGCTGCAGCCGTTTTCCTTGTGTGGCCATTTACTTTTTAAAGCCAGGGTTTCATACATGCTGAGCAAGAGCACTACCAGTAAGCTATATCCCCAACCTTTGACATCTATGCCTTCATTTTAAAGTTCTTGGGTTCCTTTGCATTTTGCAAATACAATGTGCATTTGTAATTGCACAATGTACAATGTCAACTTTGATAAGTAAGTATCCCCAAATCACACACTCAGGTGGTAAATAAGAAAACTTGCATTCAAACCCTTGTTAAACCTTGGATTTCCTCCTACCAGGCTACGTTAATGCTATATGGGTATGTTCTCTAGGTAGCAAACTACAGCATCCATTTTGTTTGACAATACGGTACTTTCTAAAATGTCATGAAGGGGGGCAGTTGTTTTGCTTAAAAGACCAAGGCAATGCAAGACACTGGGAGATAAATTGTGTTGTCTTCGAAGCTCTCTCTGAGGCACAATCCTAACACTTTTTTGGGTCTCCCACCTCTCCACAGCCCTGTGTTTCTGTAAAACAGATTTGTGCTTACCTCCGGGAGTGACATGATGAAGTCGTGCAGCTGAGCCTGCTTTGCGGCAGCTACGACTCTCTCCATGGAGATCTCTTTGGTATTGTCCCCATACTTGATGTTGTCCATTATGCTACAGTCAAACAACACTGGCTCCTGGGAAACAATTCCAATGTTTGAACGGAGGAACTGAACGTTGACTTTTTTGCTGTCGTGACCATCTATCATCTGCCAACAGAGATGACAAGAGAGGACACAAGGTTTTAGCACTCCAGCAGGGATGTGGGTTCTTTCGTGGAGTTGAGTGCTTTACAGTGCATTTGTCCTGCTTAACAGTGGCCATCCCCAGAGCCCTGAGGGAATCTATCACATTGCCTGTGGCCTCTGGAACTTGTTTCTGGCAGGCAAGTCATCAAAGTTGACACCGATTATTTTGTCGTTTTGATGTTGTTTTTCCCAAACTCTAGTTCTATGGGTATTGTATAAATGAGAAAGAATCTCTGGACAGTATTTAGTTAAGAAAAAAGTAATTCTCCTTGTGGCTTCACATAGCTTAATCTGTACAGCTAGGCAGGCTTTCTGTATTCTGATGCTTAGTGAGCTACCCAAAGGAACAGGAGAGGGAGGGGGCTGGGTCAGGGAGAGAGACAGACAGATGCTATTGGAGAACATGAAGATCACACCTGTGTTCTTGGTTTTATTGGTATTATTCTCTGGACAGCTGAGATAACAAGTCCAGGAGAAAATGTGTTTGGTCACTTGGTCACAATCATCTATGGAACCATCTTGCCAGGAACCACTGTACCATTTCTGTCGACTTTATGATGAGAACACAGTTCTAGGTGCTCACAGCCCAGAAGTCATGGAAGTTCAGCCACCAAATAGCTGCTATTTAAGATGCCTAAGAGTGTATCCCAAAGGTACATCAATCTAACATATTAGCTGTAAAGTATTTGACAGTGTGATTCCAGGGAGAATTATTTCAAATAATGCGAACAGAACATATTTTAGATAATTTCTAAGCAGTGGAAAAGGCAAACACTATTTAAAAGGTGGGGGCGATGGTAAGGCAGACCCCACCAGGAGTCAGTCCTCACTCAGCCTAAGGTATTTTCCATAGTACCCATTTCTGCAAAGCACAATTTAGTCAAAACTTGAGCTTCTTGCTAATTGCTGTTTATGTGATATATTATAACCATCTAGGAAACAAAAGATATATTCCATGTTTCTGAAAAATCCCCCATAGATAGTACTGGTCACGTCATAGATGCCTAATTAAATACTGAATGTACTATACCTGTATTTGGTAGCTTGTCTAAAAGCAAAGAGGAATTTTTTTATTGATTAAAGCAGGATTTTCTTTTTCTATTTACAGTGTTCATAGATACATTTTTGTAAACAATGAGTTTACAAAATGTACTGTGCCTCTTAAATGCGAGAAATCATAAAATGGTTGCTTCCTTCCAGGGACTAGAACATTCAATGTGTGCGTTCAGAAAAACATCCTTAGCACACATGCTAACGTTAGAGAGGTCAAACAGGCTGAATCAATGCTGCAGCAATTTATATCCGCCTGGACAAGACATGACAGAGCTCCAGCTTTGGAAAACCGAGTCCTTTCCCTTTTACGGATTTGATCTCTAGGGCAATGTACTTCCTAGATTCATCAGTCAACAAGCCCTCTCAAATAAATTAAAATCTTCACATCTAAAATCAATAATAGCAATGTTCATGAAGCACAGGCAATCAATTCCTACTCTTCATGTTCATACCCTCCCGGGTTCTACTGATACCTGCAAGACAGCCTCACTTTTCCCTTAATATTTCTCTTCAAAGTGTCACCTGTCCCCATTTCAGTAAAGATCACACTATTCAGGAACATCAGAAGGTGAATTTTACTGGGGTGTAGAAAGCAGGTAAATGAGAAGAGTCCTGACAACTAACTTTTTGCTTTTTTTAAATAAATCAGCACAGCGTCTAAGTTAGTTAAATCATGAAAACAGAAATTTGAGAATTAGGGACACAGGAGTAATAATTACTAGGAGAACTCAAGATATGAAGTGGGTAAGAGCAAAGAAGCACAGAGGAATGTTACTTTTTCTTACAAATCTTTATTATTTGATTGTATAGACTGTATTGTCCGAGAAGAGGAAAAATAAAACAGAGGAAAAGAGAAAGAATTACTTTGAAGAATAAGCAATAAAACAGCTCACCAACGTTTCAACTACCCTTGCCAAGGCTTTATCAATTTGAGTTTATTTATTAGTTAGGTATAATCATCTTAGACCAAGTTTTTCATGCTTGCTTTTGCTTACTTATCATCATGTCCCTTGTCACCCACTTTTTTCATCTACAGCTGTTAGTTTCCTGATTAGTCTGCACTTTCTGCTCCATTTGCAGGTAAGTAAACGTCTCTCAAACAAACTCATTTCCTGTGTGCCCAATTTTCTTTCCTAACTGGTCAGCAGGCCATTTGGAACTGGGAAGAATGAGGTGTTGCAAGCTGTGGGGCAGAATCAGGTCAACCAGCAGATGATGGAAATGAAAATAGCCACAGGGGTGAGAGTCTGAGGCAAACATTTTCGCCTGGAAAGGCATAGCTTTGGAGACCACTGGTGGTGGTGGTGGGGAGCATGGATCTTACACAGAAAACAACATTCTCAAAAGCGTTTACACCACTTACCACCTTCCCCTGATCAGGATCATAGAACCTTTCCAACAGCTGAATGCTGGTGCTCTTGCCGCACCCACTGCTTCCAACAAACGCCAGAGTCTGCCCTGGGTCCACAGACACTGAGAGACCATTCAGAACTTGGATATCAGGTCGAGAAGGATATGTAAAGTTACAGTCAATGAATTCAACCTTCCCTTGGAAGTTGTCCTGGAATGAGAGGACTGGAATTACATATATGTTCCTACTGGAGCCTAGAAAACAGAAAAGTTACCTAACTGTACACAAGGCTATGAAATTAGGCACTACAGAAAGAGCAACTCAATGGGTGACGTTCTAATCAGGAATAGTGGTACACAACAGTAATCCTAGAACTCTGGAAGTTGAGGCAGGAAGTTAGTTCAACTGGAGGCCAGCCTGGGTTACATAGAGAGAGTCTGTCTCAAAACTGCAAGCAAACAGACACCGACCACAAAAATGACATTTCCCCCCCCCCAATGCTGGCAGGGATAGAATAAAGAGAGACAAGGAAATTAAAGACATTTGACTTCTTAATCCCATTCTGAACTAAAGTCATTTCCTTATTGCAGAGAAATTTTAATCCAGCAACCTAGACACTCTGGCAAGGAGTCATATCCCAAAAGGTGGGTTTCTATGATACAGCTGGAATTCAGACACTCCCTTAGTATATACCTTTAATCCCTCTGGCTAGAATGTAGACATGCCTTTAGTACACCTTTAATCCCAAACAATGACGCCTGATTGAGAGGCACACAAACTAATGAACCAGAGAAAGATTTGACAGAATGAATCAGAGATAGGATATGCCCAACTCTCATGAGAAAGAGAGAGGGGAGAGAGAGAAAAGAGAGAGAGAAAAAGAGAGAGAGAAAAGAGAAGTGCATAAAGAGTTAGGCAAACAGTGCAGTACAGTAAAGTAAGTACAGTACAGGAGTACAACAGAGTTCAGGAGTGCAGACAGTTCAGGGCGGTTCAGTTGAGTGCATCTGAGCTCAGACAGGTTAGTGCAGTTTGGTTTGTGGACTTCAGAGGTAGTTTTTTCCTAGCAGAGGAATTCAGTCAGAGGGCAAGAAAAGCCAGTTTGAATCCATCAGCTTGGAGAGGAGCTTTGAGCCAGAACAGCTGAGTTGAACCAGCCAACCAGAGTTCAGAAAAAGAAAAGGGTGAGTTTATTCAGCAGTCAGTCTTGGAGGCTGAAAACATTCTAAACCTAAGTTGGCAGACAGGCTGGAAGCTGAAGCCTTCAAGGCCCAGGCTTGTAAAAGATTAGATTGTATAGAGGCTACAAGTTTCCAGGCCTAGCCCTAGCGATATTTAAATGGAAACACTCTGGGCTCAGCCTAAGGCATGTATTAGTAAAGCTTGGGTATGGCCCTCATCTCATCCCATCATCAGAGGAATAAAAACAACATTTACACATTGTCACCTATTTCTTATACTAAAGAATGGAAGAGAACAGCGGACTGTTGTTCTCTTGATGGAAGCCAGCAATTCTTTGAGTTGTTTTGACACTGTTCTTTAAAACGACTTAAAAACAAAGTTGCTTAGAGTCTATGCCACAAAGACAAATATTTTAGTGTGTTTCAAACAACTAAGACAGTTCCACTTCCTAGCTATTGCGACTAGCTTCATAATAAACATGGATGAGAACGTGTCTCTGTAGTATGTTGACTTCAAGTGTGTATATACCTAAGAACAGTATAGCTGAATCCTAGAGTAGAGCTATTTTCCATTTTTTTAAAAAAAGAAAACATTCCGATTTCTATAGTGGCTACGAAAGTTTACATTCTTTTCAGTAATGACTAAGGTTTCCTCTTTGCATTTGTTTTCTTGAAGATGGCCATTATGACTGGGACAATATGGTCTTTTAAAGCGTCTTTAATTTGTATTTCTCTGGTGGCTCGGGATGTCAATATTTTTTCAAGTGTATTTTTCTTTTGGGGACTGTGGATTCGGCTTTTTAGTCCATTTGTTGTTTACATGATTTGGTTTGAGTTTGATTTTTAGAGTTCTTTCAGATCCTGACTACTAACCCTTTATCTGATGTACACTTGGGAATTTTTTCTGCCCACTCTGTAGTTCCTTCACTTCACTTTGGGACTGTTTCCTTTTGTGCAGAAGATTTTTAATGCCATGTAATTCTGTTTTTTAGTTCCTGGGTCTACTTTGCCAGCCTACATAACATCAACAAATAACTTCATAAAGAATATATATGGAATTTTATGTAGCCCTAAAAAACAAAATCATGATATTCTTAGGAAAATGGAGGAAACTATAAACCACTGCATTGAGAAAAATAAGCCAGATTCAGAAAGATAAACACTATGTTTTTTTTCTTAGATGCAAAACCAAAATTTTGTGGGGCCAGAGAGATGCTCAGAAAATAAGAGGATACACTGCTGTTCCAGAAGACCTGAATCCTATTCCCAGCACTCACATTAGGTAGCTCACTGCTTGTAACTCCAGCTCCAAGAATTTATGCACAGGAAGGTAGTCACTGCACGCATGTGCACAATCCCATACCTATACACATAATTTAAAGATCAAATAAAACAAATACAATCATACATGTATGTGCTTACATGTGTTTGTGTGTAGCTCATGAAACTACAAATGAGAATGGAGGAAGGGATCTTAAGGCAGAGTATAAGGAGAAAGCAGAAGGGGGACTGTTTAGGTAAAGGAAGGGAACCAGTTTGAGCGGGGTTCTGGACGCATGGAGGGATGATGGAGGAAGTGAGAGAGGGAAGCAAATGATCATAAAGAATAATGACACATACGTATGTAAATATCATGACTAACCCTATTACTTTATATGATAACATAAAAAATTAATTTAAAATATAATCTGAATTATGAATTCTTGAAATGGGTAAACATTTGCAGAGAATAATTCTACAAAGCTGAAGGAAAAATAGGTCACTTAACCAAAAATCTCATAATTTCGCTTAGCTATACTGGTGTTTTGCTCTCTTGAGCGTATGGAGATTTTTTATTTTTAATGGGCAAGGAAGAGTAAAAGCACCTTGGAGATTAAAAAATAAGTTTAAAATAAGATTAAAAAATAAGGAAAAAATTTTGAATATTAGCAAATTTTCTGTAATTCACACGAACTAAAACTTGAACCAGATGAACAATATTTGTATGGCTGGACAAATAGACCTAGCCTTTTTATTTCCCACCAAAACATCAATGAAAAGCATGACTAGATATGTCATGTCTATCTGTGTGTCTTTAGACATGTGTCTTCATTAATTCTGGAACTATGTGTTTCATATATAAAATCCAGTATCTGCCAAGGCTGCGGTTATATGGGGTGTGTCTCACAAGCATTTATATATGGGCCCTGGTGTGATGATGTTAAGAAGTGGCATAGAACATTTAAGGGGTAAGAGGCTAGGCTTAGTACATGGTGATTTGGTCACTGACGTCATTGCCCTCAGAATGAATGAATGTCATTTTGGGGAGACCTGAATAGTTCTTAAAAGGAGGCAGTTACACTGGAATAACCCCAGAAGCCAGGAAAGTAGAGAAAGACCGCTGAGGGAAGGGGAGAAGGAGCTAGAGAGGAGAAGACCAGGCTCTAGGGCTCTGGAGAGGATACTAGCAAGATATAGTTGCTATAAAGGAGGAAAGGTGAAACTTGGGCATGAGCATTAGATTGGAAATGAAAGACAGTGGTTAGTATAGAGCAGAGCAGGAAGCATAAATAACAACAAGGATATTAGAAAAAGCCATAGCGAAACCCATTATTTTATAAACATACTTCAAACATAAAGTATATATTTACAGTTATAGTTATTATTACAGTTTTAATGCAGCTATTCCCAAAGAGTAGGATAATGCCCCATTCATAAGCCACAGGCTCTCTATATAACAGAAACCCCAGAACTAGGCATGGGATATTTCCCTATGAGCTGTTGGCCAGGCCTCACCCCTAGATAAAGAGCTATAGGTGGACTCCCTACTAAAAAAGGGAGAACCAGAAATCCTCCTTCTTTTTCCACAGGAACAAGACCATAGTCCTAAGGGGTCAGCCTTCAAGACATGCAATTAAGGACTAATTGGACTTAATAAATTAGTCCTTAATAGCGTGCGTGTGTGTGTGTGTGTGTGTGTGTGTGTGTGTGTGTGTGACTAATACAGGAGAAGAGATCATGAATTCCAAAGGGAGTGGTTGGTGGAACTTGAGGAGAGTTGGAGAGAGCGTAAGAAGGGAGGCAAACACAGTGTGCTCCTGTTTGTAATCATCAAATCAACATAACTGGGCAGTCATGAAAATGACACTGTTCCTCCCCGCACTCTAGCTTTCTGTGCTGCCATGTGAACTTCCCCCACGATGCCTTCCTGTCAGGATACCGCCTACTACTATACGCTGTAGTTCCGGGACTCTAAAAAGAGACCCAATAATAGAACCAGCAGATCACATACTTTGAGCCTCCAAACTGTGCAATAAATAAGCCTCTTTTCTTATGTGAAGGCCAGGTTGGCCTCAAACTTGCACTCATCCTGCCTCAGCCTCCTAAGCTCAAGGATTAGAGGGGTAAACCAGCAGGCCCAGAAAACTTCTTCAGTATACATTAATCATTCTTGAGTGCAGTACAGACTGTGAACTGAGAGGATTCCAGGTTGTTGTCTTACTCAAATGCCAGTGTAACACCTGATTTTTTCATGTCAATTATTCCCTTCCTTTACACTTGTAAGTCCATTGCCTGTCCATTCTGAGTGCACGTGGATGAACACAGGCTGCTAAAATTTAGACTCAACACATGTGCGCGTGCGCAAGCACACACACGCACACACACACACACACACACACACACACACACCTCTTTCGTAGCCCAGTCCTTACCCATTTTTCACCTGCTCCACTGTATACATTAATCGGAGGTTTTCGGTCCAGCAGTTGAAAAAAGCGTGCAGCAGATATTTTAGCTTTGGCGTAGCTTGGGGTATAAGAGAATGCTCTCCCGATAGCTGTTGCACTCATGATGACTGAAGAGACCACCCTGCAATCAGACAAACACTCAGAGGGTGGAAGCAGGGTGTGGTAGTATGCAGGTCTAAGGGGCAAATGTTTGGGGCGCTAGGCCCAAACAGCTTGACCAAGTCACTTCAGCCGTTGCTGGGTTTGCAGGAGATAGAGAGGCGAGCACTTTCCAAATTGTGCTTTTTCTGTAAGAGCGTGGAGGGGTAAACTGACAGGGTAGGGCTCAGACTTCCAAATCCTAGATCTACTACATTAAAAAAAAATATTTTTTAAAGTGGGGAGGGGGTAGCTTTTGGAAAGGAATTGAAAAGATGAGCAGATTCGGTTGGCTTTTCTTCCCAGTTGTAACATTTCATGAATCCCTGACAGGTATGTGAATGACAGCAGTTGGCCCCTGAAGTACCTACTCTACTCCCAGCATGCATAGAAGCCATACTTGAGACTGGATAAGGAAATCGCAATGGCCAGTAGCCTTCTGTTTGTTCTAGCTGCTAACCATCTCAGAATGGACTTAAGGAAGGAATGGATACATGCATAAATTCGTCAGAAGAGACAGCCTTGCTACCTAGCCTGGCTCTTGATGTGCATGGTAGCCCATGAGGCGGCCCGTCAGAGCCATCTGTGGCAGAGGTCTTCGTGGGGTTGGCATGATGGATAGGGAACGTGCAAGCATGTGCGCTGCTGCCCGGCTGATAATCAGTGGTTGTTTCAAGGCCAGAATTGGAAACCCACATTTCCCAGGAGCCCGGGATAAGGTTTAAGAGACCGAAAACTTTGGTGATAAGGTAGGAAATGGTGGGAGATGACTTTCTAGTTCTTAAGGCAGAGTGGAAGTTTTCTGCAGGCCCTTGATTCTCACATGCTGGCAAATAATTTGTGGCTTCATCCTGTCTGTGTTAGTAGCTTTAAACACACAAGGGTTTAGAAAAGACAATTTCCTGGTGTGGGTGTGGGTGTGATGGGCTAACAGGAAAGTACTGGAATCAGGCAAGAGGATCAAGCCTCCTCCATGCCCTCTAAACTTGAAACTGTCTCTGCCCTCACTACCTCCTTCTACCACCATCACCTATACCCATACTGAGGCCCTCCCCTAGGAAGGTAAGCAGACCCTCCCTTGAAGAATAGAAGATGCCCTTCTCTGGCCTATCATGTCTCTATTCAGAGGAAGTGGCTAGGAATCAGCTGTCTTTGCAAGTAAGGAACAGACTTCAAATACAATAACCCCTAAGTCCATCTTGTTCAAGGCCTTGAGCATCTTAGCTTCAACATGTGCAAATATGATCACAACTCATCCATGAGTCATCTGTTTGTAATCATCCTTTTTTTTTTTTTTTTACTCTTCCAGTCCAAACATGGATTTCATTTCTCAAATCCTTAAAACTAGGCTTAGTTGTGTGAGTTTCCTTTACCAAGGAGACCTCAGTAAACGAAACAGACTGGAACATGCTTGCAATGTTGGGCATGCTTCTTCTGAAACTCCAAGATCATTCATGAAGGGAATGAGCTTGTGTGCTGTTGAGGCCACCTAGAGATAGACATGGACACAGAAGTCAGCGGGGCTGCCAATTCCGGAAGAACTATCACACACCCTGTAGAACCTTGAAAAAAAATTGGCTGCTTTAAGAGACAATAGCCTGCTGGGTCACAAGAAAGTTGAGTGACAGAACCAGGCAAATCCCCACTGGTGCATCAATATCATGTGACCATTTTGGATATTCCTCACCTGAAAAGATAGCTGAAATGCAGCCCTTCCAGGACTACTAAATAACCTCCATATCTATAGGCAGAAGCATTTGCAAGAAATGCTAACGCCTGGGAAACCGAGTAGCAGAATCCATAGATATTTGACTTCCTAACAGCTGTCTTGTATGACATTTCCAGCTCAGCCTCAAACGCTTTGATAAATCTCCTCTCCACTCCCATTCCAGCGACTGTGCGGATGCTGTTAAGGGCTTCACTGGTGATCTGAAAAAGGAAAGAGTCTGAGGAATCCAAAAGTGGGACTATCTCTTCTCATGACATTTCAGTCATGGCACATATTAGATTTGTCACAAAAGGCAGAAAATAGCATCGAGAAGTTGGCTGGGGGGTCAACTCAACCAGACCATGGGGCCATCTGTCACCTACACTCAGTCTCTACATTGTTGTAGCATGGCTTCGTTGTCTCTACTTGCTAGGGGGAAAGACAGTGTGAGAAACGGTCTCTCATGCTTGTCCTGGACAAGCTTTAAAATGTTTCTGCTAATTCACTTGGAATGCCTAAAATGATGTCTTTGAATATCTTCTGGAACAAAAGTACATAATACAATTCAAACCACTAGAGACTATTTTCCGAAAAGTCACTGCTCAGTAAACCATCCCTTCTAAAAACATATAACTGAATATTATTAGTCAAATATAACTTCTTCTTTAGTCTACATGGTGAGCATGTGTTTAAGTACACAGATTAAGGCCCACTGTTAACAAATTTGGGGTTCTTCCTCATTAGAGATCCTATTTTTTACACTGGCATCTGAAATGTCTTGGTTACTTAGATAGCATCACGTCTCTGTCTTAAAACTCATAAAACATAATCATGAGTGAATTTATGAAGTATGAGTGAGTGTGTGACTCAGACCTGGTAGTAAAAACCCTGAACGCCAATGCTTGGAAGGCTAAGATAAGGGGATCCTAAGTTCAAGACCTGTTTGGCCTCCAGTCTGAAGTCAAGGCTGTCTGGGCAACTTGGTGTGAGAGATTGTCTCAATATTTTTAAGAAAGTAAATAAAAGAATTGGGGTGTAGCTAAGTTTTAAAGTACACACATTAGTAAACCCCTAGGCTCAGTAAACTATTCAGACTCTAGTATCAAAAAGCAAAAACAGAAAGAATGCCTGTTATATGTGATGGATTGGTCCCTTCCACCCTCCCTCCCTTCCCGTATGTTATTGTTGTTTGAGACAGCATCTCAAGTAGCCAGGCTGGGCTCTAACTCACTATGCAGCTGAGGACAACCTTGAACTTCTGATCTCTTTGCCTCTACTCCCAAGTTATAGGATCACTGCAGGCTGTGCCACCATGCCCACCGTGTGTGTGTGTGTGTGTGTGTGTGTGTGTGTGTGCATGTGTGTGTGTGTGTGTTTATTTGACAGCTATCTATGCCATCATCCCCTGACTTATTCCTTGTGTTCAAGTATTAATTAAAATAGACTTTTAAAAATGCGTACCTAAAACTGGAACATATTTGAATTCTACACTGTAACTCATGATTATATTCAAGAAAGACGTTTTCCACGAGCTTAGCAAAAACTAAAGTTGAAAGTATTTGTTTTCTGTATGGATAGCAAGACTCAGGGAAAAAATTAAGCAGAGAAAACTATAACAACTCAAATAGAACTGTCCACCTCTGCAAGTGAGAAGATAGAAAATGTAAGATGATAGCAAAAGGGCATAAAATATATAAGCTTCTACATTTACCACACTTTCTCCTTGCCTGATCAAGCTTAAGTTTCAAAGCTTTACTGTCATAGCCTTTAGGCAGACTCATGTGTCTCTTTTAACTTCTCCTTTTAAACATTTTCTTGATAACCACCCAGCCATAAGAGGAAAAATTAGGTCTATAAGATTACCTGGCCAGCCTTCTCCAGAGCTTGCTTGTCTTGAGATGCAAATCCTGTCAACATTTTTGACTGTAAGGCTACTGAGAAAGCCAAGAAGGGGAAGAAGCATGATACAACCAGACTGAGCTTCCAGCTAAAGTAGAAGGCAATGATTATGGCCACAACGATGTTACTGAAGGAATTGACCATCACCCCAACTTGAGAGCCGGCAGCCTGCAAATCAAAAGCAGCCAGCCCATCTCAGACATGGTCTTTTTAACCAGAAACTATTATGTGAAAAGCTATTTTATACCAAAAGATAGATTCTTTTTTTATTGTGATAAAATATACATGACAAATATTTAGGTTTTTTAGCCATTCATAACCATGTACCTCAGGGACATTAAAAACAAAACAAACAAACAAACACAATGGTATGTGGCCACCACATTTGTACTCAATATTTCTCATCCCCTCCAACTCTACAACTCTTTACCCATCAATTGCTTACCTCACCTTCTTCCTCTGAGTCACTAGTAATTTCTATTCTCCTCTCTGTCTGCACGGATGTGTCTGCTTTGGGTACCATGCAGAAGTGGGGTTCTATAATGTTTATGATTCTGTGTCTGGGTTATTTTGCTAAGCATAAGGTCTTTGCAGGACTCATCTACATTGGGGTACATATTACAGTTTCCTTTCTGTTGAAGGTCTAAACATTCTGTTGCATGTACAGACAACATTTTGTTTATCTACTTATCCAACACTGGCCTGTTGAGCCCTTTTGACTATTGTAAATAGTAATTTTGAAAAATTATCATCAAAAATTCTGAAAATAAAGAGACAATAAGTTATATAAAAATGTAGGTGGAAATTTACTAACAGACTATACCAAGTAGAAAAAAAAGAATATCAAAGAGTAAAGGTTCTCTTAAAATATCATATTTAAACAAAAAGAATGGGAAAAAAGAAAATGCAGATAGATTACAAGATCTTTAGGACATCATTAAAAGACCAAATTTCTACACCATTGATTGATAAGAAGTAAACAAAGGTTAAAGGTATAAAAACTTGTTCAATAAAACAAAATCAGAAAAATTTCTTAAACCTTGGAAAAGACATGATTATCTTGGAATATGATTATCTTGGAATAGAGGCCCAGAGGAATACAACCAGAAAATATTTCCACCTCAACATAATCAGACTGTCAGAAAAAAAATCAGGACAAAGAATTTTAAATTGTCCAAAAGAAAAGCAGAAAGTCATAGTTAAAGACAACCGTATCAGACTAACAGCAGAAACTCTATAGAGTAGGCAAAAGTGTGATGGTGTACTTTAAGTCCTGGAAGAAAACTATTACGAATATAGATCACCACACCCAAAAAGGCAATCCTTCAGAATTGAAGACAAAATAGTGACCTTCTACCTTAGTAAAAAACTAAGGGTATTCCAGGCTGGCAAGATAGCTCAGCTGGTAAAAGTGCTTTCCGTCAAGTATGTCGACTTGAGTTCAATCCCTAGGACCCATGTGGTGGAAGGAGAGAACCGATTCCTGAAAGTCATCCTTTGACTTCCACATATGCATACATGCATGCATGAACACATAAATAAACAAATAAATAAATAGATAGATAGATAGATAGATAGATAAATAGATAGATAGATAAATAGATAAATAAGTAGACATTGTAATTTTAAAAATCAAAGGGAATTTATGGCTACTAGACCAGTTTTGCAAAAGATGCTTAATGGAGTTTTATATCCAGAAGTGGAAGAAAGGTAATTTGAAAGACAGCATGGAAAAGTATAAGCCCTATTTGAAGAGTGATACTCAAATAAAAAATTGAAAAGTTGGAAATGGTGCTGCATGCCTTTAATCCCAGCAGTGGAAGGCAGAGGCAGTCGGATCTCTACAAATTTAAGGCCAGCCTGATCTACATAGTGGGTTTCAGGACAGCCATAGATACATAGTGAGTGCCTGTCTTGAAAACCAAAACAAAATAAACAGCTATGGAGACTGTGGCCACCTCCTATAGTCAGGCAGGACTTCCAGTGGAGGGAGGAGGACACCAACTCACAAAACCTTCAACCCCCAAATTTTCCCTATCTAGAAGATGTTCCGGGATAAAGATGAAGCAGAGATTGAGGGAGGGAGGCGCCAAACAATGACTGGCCCAAGTTGAGACCCACCCTATGCGAGAGAGCTAACCCCTGACACTATTAATTATACTCTGCTATGCCTGCAGACAGGAGCCTAACATAACTGCCAGATGCAGGGTTCCATCCAGCAGCAGATCAAAACAGATGCTGAGACCCACAGCCAAACATTAGGTGGAGCTCAGAGTCTTGTGGAAGAGCTGGAAGAAGTATAAAGAGGACAAGAACTTCACAAGAAGATCAACAGAGTCAACTAACTTGGGCCCATGGGGGCTCACAGGGACTGAGGCACCAACCAAAGAGCAAGCATGGACTGGACCTAGGCCCCTACACATATGTAGATGATGGGCAGCTTGGTCCTCATGTGGGTCTCCTAGCAATTAAAGTGTGGGGGCTGTCTCTGACATGGACTCTGTTGCCTGCTTTTGGATCACTATCCCCTAGGTGGGCTGCCTTTTCTGGCCTCAGTGGAAGAGGATGTGCTTAGTCCTGATGAGACTTGATGTGCTTTGGTGGGTTGGTACAGGGGTGTGTGAGGAGCTCCCCTTTTCTGAGGAGAAGAGGAGGAGAAAGGGGGAAAAGAATAGGAGGAGAAAGGGGGTTGCAATCTGGATTTAAAATGAATAGATAAATAAATTAATAAGGACAAAAAACAGAAGAAGAGAAGAAGAAAAGAAGAAGAAGAAGAAGAAGAAGAAGAAGAAGAAGAAGAAGAAGAATCAGAAGAAGGATCTCTTACGTAAAATGACTATTATGGAAGGCTATTATGGAAAACAACTAGAAGCTCCTCAAAAATCTAAAAATGTCATTCTCAGAGGATCCAGTCAGCCCACTCTTTGGGTGTATATCTAAATCTGCATGTGTATGTTTATTGAGAGCTAATAACAATAGTTAAAATATGGGCTTAGATTAGGTATTCAACAGTAGGTGAACACATAAAGAAAATATGCTATATCCATAAAACAAAATATCATTCACACATAAAGAAGAATAAAATCTTGTCATCTGCAGCAAAACAGATGGGGCTAGAGCATCCTGCTAAGTGAAATAAGCTAGACACTGGATGCGCTTTCGTGTTCTTTCTCCTATGTGCAGGCTAAGGAAGGAGAGCCTGTGTGTACACACACATGCACACACTTGGTTTGCATTGCAACGGAATGGGAAAACTGCTGAGGGTTGTGGGTTATGGTAGATGAAAGGTGGAGGGACATGACCAATGTATGATATGTGCGTGAGGATCCCATCTATTTGTATAATTAGTGTTCAAAACAACAATAAAAGTGATAGTGCATTAAAATTATGTACTACGCTGTTTAAAAAACTTTCTTGTAGAAGAACATATAATGATGAAAATATGCCCCCATCAAAAATGTTTAGGGGAATAAAAAAGCAGAAACAGTGGTTTCAGGTTCACGGAAACACATAATGTTTTCAGTATTTTGGTTGAACTGGCCAGGAGTTGAGGCATATTACATTCAGTACAGCACTCTTAATACAGGGAGGTTTTTCTCCCAAGCTTCACAAATCATGCTCATTTTCTTTTCATCTCAAAAGTGGGTAGAGATTTGGAAGGTAGATTTAGCTCTCACCATTTTAATCCCAATCCCTGGCTTTATAAAGGTCCAGATTGATCAAACACAGGTGTGTTAAGTCTATTGCACAAGGCTGCAGGTTGTGGAATATAGAAACCACAGCTTTGTCTCCCTGAGTCAGAAATAGAACTCGTGGATGTCTTCAAGAGAGAGTCAAGGCAGCAACCACCCCTTTCTTTCCCTATGTCCCAAGGGGGAATCTTTCAAAAACACATCACTCTGGATACTCAATTGAAGGTGTTTCCACACAAAAATCTTTTCCTTTTAATTCTAGGGGCTGCACTTGAGTCCAATGAAATCGAAGGTTCCGGGTCTTAGAAAAGTCTGAGGAAACATCTCAGTTGCTCGACTTAGAAGATGAATCCCCAACCGTAGAAGACTGATGTATGTCTTAGCACCGATTCTCGGCAAGGCCTCAGGGAAACTGGTTTATCCCAACCTCACCAGTTCTAATTCCAGAGGAAACATGAGCAATTAGACAGTTCTATGGTAAGATCATCTACGTGATGTGCCCTTGCTCCCCACCCCTACATACTATGGCTAAATGTGTTTCTCTAGCATTCGCACTGGAATATAATTCCCACTGTGAGGTACTATTGTTGGAACCTTTGGGAATGATTAGATTGTAAAACTCCATCTTCCCAAATAGGGTTAATAAAACCAGAATAAGAGAAGGTGACAACAGCCCCTCTAACCTTCTGCCACAGGAAAATGGAGCAAGAAGGTGCCATCTTTGAGTCAGAGAAAACATACCCTTCCCAGATGTAACCTACCCCAACCTACAGAACAATGAGGAAAATGTGCCTGTTATTTGTAAATTTCTTCGTCTAAGACATTTTGTTTTAGCATCCCAAATGGATGGAGATACTGCCAAGGCTTACCCCTTGAACTTGGGAGGCATCTGTAGCAAGCCTGGTTGTCAACACTCCAGGGCTATTTCTCAGGTCATCAAACCAGCCAATGTCTTGTCCTAACATTGCCTGGAAACCAAATTTCCGCAGCCTCTTTGTCAGGAGCTCCCCAGATTTGGCAAAAGTGTAACTCTAAAACATAAGAAAGGAGTCTTTGGTGAGGTTTTTCACATGAAAATAGGGGGAAATAGGCAAATCATTTAACAAGAGGTAAAATTACCTGCAGAAACTGTGTGACAATGGATACACAGCCCAGGATGACAAAAAATAAGCACATGTTGTAAATCTCTGACTTTTGTTCCTCTTTATCAGGCAGTGAAAAAGTCTTTGGAAGATAATAGGCAGGGGATAAAGTTTGTTATTATAAACAATAACAAAATAAATACATTTTAATATGTTCCATTAAATTTTCACATTTGTTCAGTCCCATAGGATGTCCAGTAAAAGCGAACCTCAATACCAACATAAAGATCAATACAGAGATCATGACATGACAATACAGAGCATCAGCTGTTCTGAATGTACTAAATCAGCCGAGGATGCTGGTGATAGAGGAAGGCAAGGGGTTTATGGGAAATCTGTGGAACTTCCTCTTAATTTTGCTGTGAAACTAACATTGCCATAGAAAATGGTTTGTTTGGTTTTTTTCCCAATGGCTTCACTTTAAACACACTAGTTTTTAAAACCAAAGGTAGTGATGGACGTTACGATGAATTTTTTAATCTTCTCTGTGGCAGGGTTCCTGGAAAACCAATGGCAACAATTACAGACATGCACCCGCCCACCTACACCCACCCACAAACAAATACACCCACATTCGGTTAATTTAAACCGTGGTGTTAGCTTTTTATTTTTTTATGACATAAATGAAAAAAAAAAAAAAGATGGTAAAAAAAAACCCCATAATCCAGTTATCCTTTAAGAAATAAGGGAGAAAAAGACAAAAGAAGGGAGGGAGGAAAAGAAGGAAGGGGAGACAGAAAGACATTATTGAGAATTTAAGAATGTCTATCTGCAGAAAAACATGGTTATTATTTCAACTCTTATTTTGCTCAAATAATGGACACAATAGAAATGATTTTTAAGGCTCAGCTAACCTATCTTTTACTACATGTATTTATAGTATGCTACATGTATAATCTTATACATAAAAAACTAGCTTATAAGCATAAGATATGATATGTATACATTCATTTTTAAAGCAACCAGCTATTGCCTAACTGACTCTCCTCAGCCTGGGAAAAGGAAACTGCACCTGAGCCTGCTGGTGCTGCTGTGTGGAGGTATACCAACACTGAGACATGTCTAAACATGCCTAGGCCTTACTGTCTAGCATAACCACAGCCATTTTGTTTTTAAGTCTTTCTTTTGGTCATAAGGTGAAATTAAATTCAAGTTCCCCCTGCCAGAGAACTTGAATAGCCTTTTATTTACAATCCAATATTTACTGAATGTTCTGCTTGAACTAATGATTTATACTCTACATAAACAAAACCACAATACCCTGCTGTGTCCGTTCCTCCTGGGACAATGGGGAACTGGAAAGTCTCCAAGCTCCCTACCCTGTATGCTAACCAATAAGCTTAAAATGCTTTGCTTAGCTAGTCAAAATGATGTCATGGGGGCTACCACTTGCTTCCTATACCTGGTTACCTGGTTGTTACTTGGTTCTGGTTTTTCTCATAAAAAGCCTGCCCTAGAAACAGACTGGTGTCATCACAGTTTGGCTCTGGAGTCCACTCTGTATCCCTGACCAGTGGGTCTTTGTTCAGCATTCAATAAACTTTCATCATTCTGAATCTGGTGTCAGAGTGGTCAGTGGTGGGGGTGGGCCGTGCCACACTTGAACCCCAACAGCTGCCCTACAGGAAACTGGAACTCTTCTCTCCTCAAAAGCCATAAAAAGTCTTTAAGGTCCATTTTGACTAGTAAATGATACTCTTAAATATGTGATGAATTTACGGACAGTTGCCTACGTGCCTAGCTGAGAAAGAACCCAACCTGTTGCAATAAAGAAACACAGTAAAGAGAGTGTCTTCTGATGGCAGAGCTCTTCAGGGAACGGGATCTTAGTCACAACAAAGCTTTTATAATTCAGACTAAATAAAGTAACTAGGAGAACTCAGGAAAAGTACGGATTAGAAAAATGAGATTTATAGTAGGTTCTTATTTATTCTCTCTTTATCTCTGTCTCTGTCTGTGTGTCTACCTGTCTGACTGGTCTGATTTGTGTGTGTGTGTGTGTGTGTGTGTGTGTGTGTGTGTGTGTGTGTGTGGTGTGTCCCTCTCCCTTTCTCTCTCCAGGCTCTCTCTCTGACCTGGAATTAGCCATTTCGTCAGTGGTCCCAAATGAGGATCCTCTGGTCTCTCTGCCGCTGGTATCTGCTGAATACCAACTATGTGTCAAATACATCTCCTCAAAAACAACATGTACTATATTGCATTAGTAAACATTTTCTGTGAAACAAAATAATGTTTCTTTTCTTTTCTGGGTGTTTTGTTTTTTTTTTTTTTTTTTGATGTCTGGTCTCTGATTCAAGCAATACACAGAAACAGAAAGTACAGGTTTCAGGACACCCATTGTTTTCACGAATTTAATACTTGATGCCAAAAATACATCTATTGAAAAAAAGGAAACAAAACCATCTCCCCGTCTTTATAAGTTTAACAAATTTTCATTTTATTTTGCATCGTCACACATTTTATTTTATAATGCTTTGGCAGTAATGGTTCAGATCAGGTAATTATTTCTGCCTGATTTTTGTGTGCTCAAAAAAAAATTTTTGTTGTTGCTGTTTTTGTTTTTCTGGTCTTACAGAGCAGCTTAGAGCAACTGTAATGGCATTTTTTTGAACTATATTATAATAAAATGAGAATAGATTAAAAAATAAAACTGAAAAAAAAATCTGTCCAGAATTGAACAAAAACTGTAAAACAGAAAAAGAGGGAGAGAGAAAAAGAGAGTTTCTACCTTAATGAGATTTTACTCTTTCTAGAACATTTTCTATAGCCTTTACACTTTCTAAAAAATGGGCTCTAAAACACTGCAATAATTCTTGCCAGGCTTGTGCAACTAACCAGCTCACAGGAATTTACAATTCAAGATATTAAACAGACAAACAAACAAATTAAAAAAAAAACCCAAATATTCTTGAAACATCAAACTGGTATGCAACCGTGACCTATCCTCACAAAGGCCACCCACCCGCTGTACGTATGGATTGCAGAGGAATCCGCTTAATTCGTATAGGAAACCAAGGACACGAACATTAAGACATTTGCCTGTTTCCACTCATCTAGGCTTCCTTCATGAATAAGGAAGTTCCCAGTTTCCAGCTTCAGGTACAGTGGTTTTCTTTTGGGCGTGCCCTTTGGCTTATGGCATTATCTACGTAGTCCGGACAGAGTAGCTGGCTAGTGTTAAAATCCACAAGACTGTAGTTCAAGACGAACTTTAATTGACCCATAGTCTTTTTGCCACAAAATCCTGTTCCGTGAGTTCTTTCTACATTCTTAGTTCTGAATTACAGCCCAAAGGGCTACCCATCCCTACAACCTTTTGCTCGTAGATGGGCTGTGATTCAGAAACACATATTTCTATTTTCGCCATGGTAAAATTTGTTTAAGGAGAAAAGCAGTCATTAAATTCTTGCTGTGTGTCAGGTATCAAACGTGTGGTTTAACCAATCTTAAACCTTAATCTTAGATCTTAAATTAAGATTTCCTTAAAATTAGGACTCTCACAGCAACCCAGGAAGTAGGTAGGGTTCATGTTTTATATTAATGAAATATACACAGATAACACAGAGACTTAACACCATTCCAGAGCTGACTGGTTGTTGGGTCTGTGCTTTTCCAACATGCCACACCGACTGACAGCAGGTTGCATGCTTGGCACATCTTCCATTCCAAACAGACCCAGGGAAAGTGAAACAAGTATGTTATATTATAGTTGTGTGTGGACGCTTAGGTAGATTAGTAACCAAGTTTCTATTTGTGCACAATCATTTAATGGGTGCATGTCTCTCAGTGTCATCTATTATGCCACACATTAATGCAATATCCTGTAAGCATGTCAGGATAAAGACAAGCAAAGTGGTGCACTATAATCCTAGCCCTCGGGGAGGCAAAGGCAAGAGGATCTCTGTGAGTTCAAGGCCAGCCAGGTCTACAAAGTGAGTCTAGGACAGCCAAGGCTACACAGAAAAACCCTGTCTCTAAAACCAAAACAATAACAAATCCACAAAACAAAACAACAATAATCTTCCTTAACCAGAAGAGAGACTGTGATTTGTTCAGCCTCATTCTCTTAGTGAATATAACCCTCTGAGAGCATTAACAAGAAGCCAGCATTGGGTTCCAGCAACTACATCCTACTTTTCTAGTTATAGAACCTTTAATCAAAAGTTTGATGGCCCTGTCTCACTCCATCCCAGAGCTTCCAGTGATAAATGGAAGCGACAGAGTTGAGAGAATGAAGTCTTTATCGCTGACAGAGGGGCAGCTCAAGGAGGGCAGGGCTTCTTGCAGAATCAACACTTTTCCTGATTTGGTTAATTTACAGTCACTATGGCTAGAGCATGCCTTCAAGGTCATCTTTGTCAAGGTCATCTTTCATCAATTTTTATAGTTGATAAAACTGAGTCCCAGAGAAGTGGGACTATATGATTCCAGAATGCAAAGGACTTGGCCAGTAAGTAGCAGAGCTAGTTTTAGGAAAAAGGCCTCTTGGAACGCAAGGAACTTTCTAGAGTAGCTAACCTAGTCTGAGGAAAACTGAATCTTCTTGGTTCTACTTTTGTCAAGGTATAAGCAGATAAGCAGGCGTAAACATACCACTGTCAGCATATACTCAAAGGACTCAACTTCCTGCTGCAGAGATGCTTGTATAGTCATGCTCACTGCAGCTTTATTTTTGACAGCTAGGAAATGAAACCGGCCTAGATGTCCACGAACTGATGCCCGGATAATGAAAAAATGGTTCACGTCCACAAAGGAATTTTATTCACCTATGTCACCTCTCCCCACTTCTACACACAAAAAGCTCAGAGCATGTCATGTGGTGGTGTGGGGGAGGGGCACAGAGAGAACGCAAGAGCTGGAAGATCGAGGGAAGTGCTGTGACATGCTGTCTTCGGAACGGACATGGCCGCTGCAATCACAGGCTCACAGCAGCTGTGTTGACCTAAACAAGTCATGAAATCTCACTTCTCATCGATGAACTGTTGGCACCTAATGGCTGTGGGGGAAGGGGGAGTCGTTTTTCTTAGTGTTAAAGTTTCCAGTAAACAGCCCCCCCCCATCCTCCTCACATAGCAACCCTAATTACATTCAGTGGGGGCATTTAACAAAACATGAAAGAAAACGGGGTCTTGTTGTAACGGAGTCCAAAGGGCATGGGAGGAGGCTGAAGGAGGGTAATGGAGAGGACATGACCACACTGAATGTGTGAGTGAAACTGTCAAAGAATAAATACTTTTAGAAAAAGAAAATCAGGAAAGAAGGCAAAATTCTGGGTTTCTGTTAAATAAGCCAACATCTCACTGTAGGCATCCATGACATCCAAGATCAGGTGAGGCCTGATCTTGTCCTCTATCCCAGACCAACACCAGCACAGTGGCCAGTGAACAGGCCGTTGATAAATATCTGTTGAATGGTCAGTGTTCTTTATTTTTCTTTCTGTTTAACGATCACTTTTCTCACTTCCTGGAAACTTCATAGGGAAAGTACCATAACTGTGATGCTATGGTATCAAGTCCCTAGCAGAAAGTCTCAGGGCCATCAATATTGCATGCTCCTTAGGTAAATAAAAGAACATGTGTTTATGTTTGTAGACTTTGCCTACTAGGAAATGAAGACGTTCACATTCGCTATTTTAAAAGTTTTGCAACATGAAAGGTTGTGGCACCATGTAATAAACTCAGTTAACTAAAAGCTATGTTTCCAATTGCCTGACTTCCTGAAAGGAACATAAAGTAACAGGATTCAAAATGGCCTGAGACATTTTTACCCAGGTGATTCTACTAGCTCTGATTTTTTTGGTCTTTCTATCCAAGTCACAGCCATGGGGGCACTTTATTGTTTTGTGGTCATAGTTTCTATCAGAGAGGGATATAGAGAAAGGGACAATCTGACAATATGATATGCTGGCAAATCCTTGAGAAAGCTGGCAATGTCCTTACCAGTGTGGTTTGCCTTTTTTGTTGAACTCATTCCGTGTGTGTGTGTGTGTGTATGTGTGTGTGTGTGTGTATGGGGAGGAATAGCAAAACTCCGAGGAAGTGAGAAAAAGTAAAATAAGTTTATTCTTTCATCTAGCTGCATTTTCACGGCTTTGTCCCCACCCTCTCAGTTCCTCCCACATCCCTATTTTAATGCAGTCAGTAGCAGAGCAGAGTACAGGATACACTGTCACCTCTTTAAATCAAGCTCTGTACCCCAGTGGTCCAGCATTGGAAATCACCCTGAAATCCTTTTGTATTATTACTCAACAAACAAGCTTTTGATACAGGAAATTGCCCCTTTTGCAACCTCCATCTGTAGCTGTGTTTTTGTTGGTGTAATGACTGTGAGCTCTTGCCAGCCCAAATGAAGAATGTTCAACCTCACCTTCTCATTTTCTGTGTGGTGTAGAGTCTATGGATATTTTTATTCTTTAGGGCTGGAGATGGGGTGATGGGGTAATGGGGCTTGGCAAAAGAGCTAGCAAAAAAAAAAAAAAAAAGAAAAAAAGCTGAGTGTGTTAAAGCAAAAAGGTATTAGATCGGATACAGCACTAGCTAGTGGTTTAAAAACAAAAACACCAGAAGGCATGAGCAGAATAAAGTTTGTCCATTTTTTTGCTTACCCCGAGGATCTGACTGAATAAAAAGCTGTAGATGGGTGTGATAGCCCCGTTGACAGCTGCACCCAGAGCTCCTAGTAGCATGTAGTGCCATTCTGGGAGGTTAAATTTCAGAATCCTTCTAACCGGGGCAGGTTCAACCTCTTCCACAAGCGGGTCCTTGTCCTTGGGGAAAGAGAGGGTGACATCAGTTACTCACACACAGGCCTATCCTTTGTTGCGTGCAGGGTCAAGGATCACAGAAGGGCTGGTCATGGTGAGGTGGTGAGATGTGGAGACTCGGTTGGGACTGCGCCCTGGCTAGGGCGGGGCCATTCACTAACAGGGTTGATGGTGCGCCTCACAGTACATGAACTAACTCTCCAGCCATAAGAATTGTGTCTTCTCCTTGAAAAATAATTCCTCGTTTTAAAAACAACTTCGCTAAGTGTATTTACACATTAAAAACTTTCGGAAGTTTTGAGGTATACCTTATATTCATACCAAGCAAAGGTTCTCCAAGCTAGTAATTGGCCCGAGCTCTGGGACAGGCCAGTGTAACTTAGGCGAGACATATTTAATTCACAGTGATTGCACACTTGTGTTAATAAGGTTTTCCTTAATGAGTGCTCACCAGTCAGCAACACTAAATCTGGTTTCTAAATTGCACGTTTCCCCCCACAGAAAACGAAAATTAATCAGGATTTCCACATCTTGATCTTTTTAGTTGGTATTAAAATATTACAGCTTGTAACGTTTTCATCCCCTGGAGAGCAAGTATTACATATAAAATCTTGTTGCTTTATTTTTCATCTTTTTGCCTGTTCATTCAATTATTTGTTAGACTTAATACTCACTCTGAGAAAAGATTCTAAGTGACTTATACAGATTTGTATTGATTTTTTCTATTAAAACATACTAAAAATATGTATACAAAATTGACTACAAAATGATTAATGGATGTGTTAATTTATCTTTCAGATAGCTAAATATCAGGAACAGAACATAGCACAAGACTTCAAAAACTTTCCTTTCTCTTACAAAGTCAAGGATCACATTACTAGTTCAACTTAAATGAAAGGCTGGAGTGATAGCCTTTTCAGGAAAGTTGCTGCTGGAGATGGCCATGAATTTTGTCATCATGTGACTTCCGAGTTCTCTCTTGGCTGCCTTCAACACTTGTACTTCACGGCTGCCGCTCACTCATGCAGCAAATTCTCCTGCTCAGTTGTTCCTTTCAGCCCACTAACTCAGGTTGCCAATGCCTCAGAGAAGCGTGCTCAGGAAGGGACCAGAGTAGCAGACAGAGGAAGAATGGAGTTCTTGGGCAAGCCCTGTCTGGCTGCCAGCAGAACGTATGGGCCAAGCATGTCAGCTCCCTGGGCCTCTGCTATTTCATTAAAACGAAGGAGTTGGAGCTATCCTATTTCTGCACAATAGACGATACGACCTTTGTTCAGATTGTTGGGGTGTTTGTTTGTTTGTTTGTTTGTTGAGGATATTTGTCTATCAAAAAACCTTAAAAGACAGAGATATTTTCTTTACGCCAAGCATTCAACCCATTTGCCCACTAGAGAGAAGAGAGGCCCTCACAGCCAAGTCCTCTTCTAGAACATTGTTTTCTTCAAGGTGGTGTAATTACCTCTTCACACCTCCTGGTGGGACCTGGGAATTGAGCTGGAGAACCAGTGTGACAATGCCAAACTGTGCGTACTGCCAGTGGCCTGAGGAGTTCAGTACTTATCTCTGAGGGTGGATTCTGTCCACACCCTCGGGATTGCGTGACTTTCAGTATGGCAAAATTGACCTTTGTAGGTCTTGATCATCCTGATCTGGACACTCACAGACTTATAAATGTCATGCTAACATTCTCCAAATTCTGTCTGTTCCCCAACGACACCGTTGCCCCATGGGCACGTCATTCCTAGCCTAACAAGACAGAACCTTTCCTGATTTTCTTGTGGCAAAGTGTCCCTAACCTTAAGCCTGTCCTCAGACAATGGATTATTTTATTAAATTTTATTTGTTCTCTCTAAATGAAAAACAGAGGAACTATATGTATCTGTGTGTGTATGTGTATATATATATATATATATATATTAATTAAAGTAATTCCAGAAAATATATATTATATATATAAAATATATATGTATATATACATATATATACATACATATGTATATATGGTTTCGTACTTGACAGATTTTCTTAGTTGTTTTTTGTTTGGTTGGTTTTTTTAACTTTGATCTGCTGTGTGGGCCAGGGGAAGATCAGACTTCCTACTGGAATTTTGTATCTTTCTTTTTATACTTTCTTACACCTGTTTCTTTACTTTAACAATAGGCGTCTCCTGCCTGGATACTAACTTTAATATTTAATGATAAAATAGTACATATGATAAAAAAAAAAATCCAAGATTTTCCTGATGAGCTGACACGGATAGCCATTTTCCTGAGTCCTGCCTCTGTCCTATCTCTAATATTGGATTAAATCTGCAAGTCAGCTGTGATGAAGTGACACGATTCTAATATATCATACCCTAATTTGCTCCATATATATTCCTCCTCTCTCTTTTAGGTAAGAGACTGAAATTTCTACTCTGTTGATGGTCCTTAATCCTAAATTTAACCTGATCAGGATATGTACCATCTCATCCTATTCATGGGAGCTAAAAGATACAGGCTGGTGAAAGAGAAACAGCTTAGCTCTATCACTAGCCCACCCTCAGGAGGGGTCAACCTTCAAGCCTCAGCTTATCTAGGTGCTTTGTAAATACTCGGAGAGACCACAAGGTGGCAGTAATTGCTTTGTGGAAATAGACCCCGTCTAACCGAAATAGAGGCCAGGCGCAGTGGTGCACACCTTTAATCCCAGCACTCAAGGAGGCAGAGGCAGGTGGATCTCTATGAGTTCAAGGCCATCCTGCTCTACAAAGCGAGTCCAGGGCAGCCAAGGTTTCACAGAGAAACCCTGTCTCAAAAAACCAACAACAGACTGTTTCCCAAACCGCAGAAGATGAGACTGGCCATCTCCATTAGAATGAAAAAGACCAAGACTTCAGCTTTTAAACTACTAAAAGCAAGCCAGGCCTTCTCATACAGTGTTACTTAGGATTAAAAAGTCTACTAGTCAAAAAGGAAAGAAATGGAAATTCCATCAGCTGGTAGAGTTACTGTATGCACAGGAAGTATCAGGGAATAGCAGATCATTTCCTTTTGGAGCTTGAACAACATAATATCAACTTCTTGACACCTTTTTCCTTATTCTTTATTTTCCTTCTCCTTTTCTAGAGAAAATATAAAATGCTGTTTTGTTTTGTTTTTTAATTTGTACTGGGCAACATCTAAGTGATTTCAATTGTTTTTTATTCCTAGTGCTCTGAACAAAAATGAAATGGTTAATTCTGACACCAAAAGAGGAGATGCATCTTTAATGGCAAGAGGTAGTAAGAAACCATCTCTTAAAAATGTGTGTTCCCTCATTCTGATTCATTCTGAGAAAGAATGTTCTAAGGTATTTATTGAAATGAATTCATTCAACATCGAGAGCTCTATTCTGTTTTGAGAGTCTTAATATCCCATCTTTCACAAGGTCTTAAAGGATATTATTCGTGGATTTATCCTGAATTTCTCCTTTGTGAGCCAGTCTTTGTAATAGTGTCTTACTGAATTTACAAGTTGGAATTTTACTGAAGACATTTTGAAAGTGCATCATGCATAATGGATGTACTTGTAATTAAAATAGTTCTTGGCTTATCTGATTTGATACGAAGAAGAGTTTGAGCTTCATTTTAATCGCAGAACCTCAGTTTTTCATTCCAGTTAAAACAAACAAACAAAACCCTCTTGATGTCCTACTTGATACAAGGCCCTGGGAAAGCACCTGTGGAGACTCAGCACAGAGGGTCAGGAAGTCCAAGAAGGCTAAAATGTAGCAAGAGAAAAGAGCATGGATTCAAAACTTAAGAGTTCCCTGAAGGAGTTCTCACAGGGCATGTAGGAGATCAAAGGTGAGCACCTAGAGGCTGGGAGAGACGGGTTTTGACACATGGTCCCTTATAAAACAGATAATATCCACAAGAGCAGAACAGCCACACTCTCACGAGCGTACCTTTGTACTTGAAAACTTGCAACAATTTGCATGAGGTCTAGTCTTATCAAATATGTTCATCCACTAAGAGGAAATTTTAAATTTTGAGGAAAAAAAAGATTTTGGGCACTCTGTAAAACTTTTAAAAAGTTACCTCTATTCAAACAAATAATTGCTATGCATGTTTAAGAAACATAATTCCTATATTAATTATAATTATTCATCTGAAAATTGATTGCTGTCACTTAACAGTTCACTTCAATTTAATATATGTTCTTCAAAGTAATTAACTAGTGAATCTGTGTTCTTTGCAGGGGGTGGAGGGAGCAGAAAATGTGGAGTTTCCACTAGGTCCTAATGTTCTATTTGGCCTGACTCAGTAAGCCACTATTATACACCAGAAAAACATGTATACCTAAAGATAAACAAGGCACATGGGGAAGATTTCTCCCGTGCCTCAACCCCCACCCCAGAGCAACAGATGTCTGACCTTGCTGTCTTCGTAAGTAGGTTTGTAATCAGCCATAGCCAGTGAAGGTTCATGTGCCACAAGGGAAATCTGAGACTTGGAGCGCTGCCGGATGGAAGCTCTGGAAAAAACAAAAAACAAAAAACAAAAAACAGCAAGATAGGACAGGCTGTAGATGGCAAGCAGGTGGCCATGGACTCAGCTGGTGTCCCAATTAACATCACATATCAAATCAACAGAAATGTTCAGTGGGTCCCATGACAGTCAGGGCAGGGAGGAGCTCCCAGTTGGGTTTGAAGAAGTTTGTCTTGGGTCCGAATAAATCGGGTAGATTTCTCTTGAGCCCAAGCTCTGTCATTGCTGTATCCAGATTCAGTGTGTAACCTGGGACGGAGAGAGTGAAGGGAGCAAAGTTTCCCATTGACCCTGTTAAAAACAGCCAGGACTCATATGGGTCTGCCAGCTGCTACCATGGCAAAGGTGATGGTTTAGCACTTGTGTTTCCTTCTGGTTTAGGGCACAGTTTCTAGTCTCTTTTCCTGTCTCTGTCTATGTCTCTCTGTGTCTCTGTCTCTCTCCTGTTTTCACCCTCTTCTTTCCTTCTCCCCTTTAGGGTGATGTCACCTGGATACTAGTAAAACAACAGAAAGAAAAAAAAATAGGCTCTCTAGTAAGGCTATCTGAAGGTTTTGTATATGGCTACCAGGCTAAGGAGCTTTCAAATAAGGTTTGATGAAACTTATCTCCAAGTTATATATTGCACACAAGGAATCAGCAATGTTATTGAAATATGCTTTAGCTTAATGTAGTTGTTCATTCGCCTGTAGTTTATTAGGTTCCTACAGAATATAAAAAAAATCCAATGTTAGGTGTTTATGGGAACATAAAGACTAGCCAAATCACAGACATCTTTCTCAAGGAGTTTAAATCCTACAGGAGAATAATGTGTGTAATTAAGCTACTGTAAGGAAAAGTCTATTGGGGCTTTTATGCTGAAGAGTTAAAGCTGTGCTTTGAAGACTTATTTTGAAGTAGTACAGGTAAGCAGAGAGAGATGGTGGAGGTGAGGGGACCGTGCCAATTGTCCTAACTCTATACGGAATGATTTTAATGTCCCCCATTATTTGCAAATAGGGAAATTTAGACTAAAGCAAATGCCAAATGGTGTCTGTCACCACCCAGAAACCAGAATCCTGGCTTCCCAAGAAACCAGGCACATGTCAACTTCTTTACGCTAATCTCTTCCCACCCTGTGTGATTGACCTTTTAGTCACCCATGGTCAGCTCTATGCATTTACCAGAAGTTACCTTTCTCCTTTAATCTTGGACACTTAAACCCTTGGCTTACCTCATTATGATCAAAACCACAAAACCACTCCTGAAACCTGATTCCCCGTCCCCAGCCCAACCTCTAGGATATTGAATGCATTCCCGCTCAGCACAGTATGTAGAAGATGCACAGAGAGTTGTTTCTTTGGGTTAGGTAACTAATGCTGGGACATCTTCAGACTATGAAGAAGAGGCTGTGTCCCCTGGAGATCACAGGGTGATCGCAGAGTATCATAGGGTCTATGTTATGAGTGAGACTCAAAGCCATCGGTCTATGGCACTAAGGTAGCCATGTAGGAGAAAGGAAAGAATGTCTGTATTTAACTGAGTGCTCTACACCCAGTTCTAGATTAGGGAGACGTCTCTGTGAGTCCCTCCCATCACGTTTCTACTACCTTCATCTTGTACTTCTTCTTATTATTATTATTAATTTAAAACCCTGCATATTTGTTTTGCTTTCCAGCTCTGTTTGTGCCTTAAACACTTTCACAGCAATTTTTTTTTTTTTTTTTTGCTCCTCTATTAAAAGCCCGCTTGATCCTGTCATGGACACACTTGGCACAGGAAGAACCGCCATAGGCTCTGCTGACTGTACATCTTTGTTTTAGACACTCTCATAGGAGGGCCTGCGATGGTAGGTCAAAGACTGGACCATTCTGAGTGCCTCTAAGCACCATCCCCGGAAGAGCGATCTTGTGCTTCTTAAATTTCTCTCCTATTCCTCAAGCTCTTCCACCTCTCTAGTGTATTCTGGTATAAGCCCATGAGCAGTAAGTGTGCTGGGCAAGGGCTCTGCCACCTAGCTGGCTCTCAGTCGGGTTTATCGTAGACACTATGGTAAGGCTCCATCACACGGCGTTTCGGAACTTACACAACATTCTTTAAGAAATCCTCACTTAGGCAAAAGTTGTGTAACACTTTCCACTGTAAAGGAAAACAGCTAATTTGGGAGAATAAACGTTCTTTCTCTCTCCCAACATTATTATTTAGAAAATTATTTTCTTGTTTCCAATTAAGTTGTTTTTGAGCCTGAAATATATTGTTGAGGAAAGGCTCAGCTATTATGAAGACTATAGCCCAAGAAACAAGATACAAATTAACATTTCATTTAGTCATCTTTGAGAAGAAAAATCTTTTCAGACCATACAATGAGATATTTTTAACAGAACTTCTTATTCAAAGTTGTAACTCTTTCTCTGCAGGAGGTTAATAGCTACTTTTTGCGTATAGCTTGTCTTTCTGGATTTTTTTTCAGTCCTAGTTATTAAAATGTAGAATTTGTGGGAAATGTAGCCCAATAAGAGACACTTATGTGAAAATGGTTATTTGTTTCTCATCATAAACTACTTAGAGCAGACAGAATTTTGTTCTTAAGACTAAATAAAACATTGACTTTGTTATAGACATGACCACGTATATTATTTTAAACCAATGACAGAGAGAGGTTCCCTCTCATTGTTTGTGCTCAAGAAATTAGTTGCTATCTTCAAGGTCTGATTTATGTATACTGATCATGATTAAACATGCTGCCGTGATAAAGCATAGTGACATCTGTCTATAAAAATTGGCCTGACAATTCTGATAATTTCTATGTCTTCTGCTCTATGGAGTAATTCAAAGCTATTGCTTTCTTTCTTTTCCAGCTCAATAAAGCTAACACTTTAAAAATTTTTTTCTTTTTTTTCAGTAGATTTTTTTATGAAGAGAGAAAAATATAACCACATCTGAGAATTAAGATCCATAAAGATAAGAACATTAGTATTAAAAAAATCTATATATATTTGAAATAAGTACAAATACTTTTTAGTAAATTATTCCTTGAAAATTAACGATAAATAAAATCATTTTGACTACATAAAGTTGTTATCAGACTGTCCTATTTTAAGCAACTTTAACTCCTTTTCAGGAAACAAGTAGCCATCTTGAATAAGCAAGTCTTTGAGTCTGCTTTGAGCACAGTATTGCATTTAATGTCTTGGTAAGGCCAATGGTAGAGAGATGTCTCAAACACAACTTATTACTAGTTTTCTTACTGAAGAAGAAAAGGTTTTAACAATATTTTCATGAACACAGACAAATATTTCTGGACAGAATTCTTAATACAAAGCTTTTAACACCAGAAAAATGTTTAGGAAAATTCTTTTTTTTTAAGATTTACTTATTATTTATACAGTATTCTGACTGCATGTGTGCCTGCAGGGCAGAAGAGGGCACGATATCTCATCATAGATAGTTATGAACCACCATGTGGTTGCTGGGAATTGAACTCAGGACCTTGGGAAGAACAGCCAGTGCTCTTAACCTTCTGAGCCATCTCTCTAAACCCCAGGTAAATTCTTAAACAAACATAAAAGATGACCATTTACAGTCTCACTAATAACACACTCCAAAATATGTTTTGAAAGTGAAAAGCTATAGATATCAATACATCTATAATTATAGATATAAAAACAGAAAAATAAATATCTCATTTGGGGACATCCTCTACAAGAGCCTAAACAGGCACTTTATTCCACCCAGTTAAGAAACTATTTGAGTCTACATGCATTCCTGTGGGAGCAGAAGTGTTAATAATTCAATTGCCTCTCAATAAGGATAAAGGACAGAGCTAAAGATGGCCTTCATATAAGAGTGTTTCAAACAATAATTAAGTTTGGGGGAGAAAGAGTAGGTGCCTGGCAGCTTGTTTGTTTTCTTATTTGTAATTGTTTGTTATTTCTCCTGAGATAGGGTCTCATGTCGTAGTCCAAGCTAGCCCGGGTGAACATGTAATCTTCCTACTCAGTCTCTCAGGTATACAAACATGCACCACAGCACGGAGCTAACACACAGTTTTAAAGTCTCTGTTCTAGCGGATAGAAAGATGGCTCAGTGGGAAAGAGCACTGGCTTCTCTCCGAGTTTCAATTCCCAGCACCCACACAGTGGTTCACAACCATCCGTAACTCCAGCCCCAGGGGGTCCATTTCCCACTTCTGGTCTCTGTAGGCACCAGGCACATCCACAGTGCACAGAAATACATGCAGGCAAAACACCCATGCACATCAAATTAAATTTAAAACAAACAATAAAATGAAATCTCTACTCTAAGCTCAATAATCAGAGAGCCTTCCAGCCTGGCCCTCCTCCCAGAAGACTGAAAAGATCAAGTTAAACACCCTGACACACTCATATCACAAGACATGGAGTCTGCCATGGGGCTTCCTTCTTGGACCTGAGATATTGCCTAAACATCACGGGTGTAGAAGCCTCCTAAAAATACACACACACACACACACACACACACACACACACACACACCAAAACTTCAAAATCGCACGGCTCGTGCTTACCTTAAACTCTCCCGATAGCTTCCTCTGGTAAAAGTCCTCTTGAGTGTGCCGCCTTCGCTTGCGTCTTTCCCTGTTTAACACGACATGAGCCGTTCCTTAGAGCACACGGTAAGTACAGCCTTATTTACATAGAATAATTTCCTGTTTGCCTGGGAGGTAATTATTGCATTGGATACCCAAAGATCCTGTTAACTTACTGCAATAAATAAAAGTCAAAACGTGTCCAACAGATTCTAATAAAACAAAAATTCGAAACACTCAGTAAGATTGACTTGTGTGAAATGTGTGGTGGCTGTTTGTTTTGCTTTGTTTTTTTTCTTCTTCTATAGACATAAGGATCTTTTAGTATAAATTTTAGAAAACTGATGAACATTCACTTGGCACCAAAAAAAAAAAAAAAAAAGGTAGATACGACCAGCAAACTTTCATAACTTACTTGGATTTCATATTGTAAACATATGCAGTAGTTATGCCTGATGCTGTTCATGAGTCCACATGGGAGATGGTGGAGAAAGCCAAGGGTGGTTGATTAATGAGCTCGGCATAACCACCAAGCTCAGATTAAGAAAAAGAAGGCATAGGGAAAACATTTGTCCTTGTTTAACTCGTGCACCAGTAATGACAACCTGTCACGTGCCTGACACAGCTAGGAAGCTTCTCCTACTTGAAAAGTGGTAGATTTGAAAGCAGATAAGACCTTGGGTTTCATTCTGTGACTTGGTCAGATAACTTAGCCTTCTGTGCTTTATTTCTTTACCTTATCAGTTGCATAATGTCTGCTGGGCTTTGTGAGAATAAGCGATACATTTTCATAAGCGTATAAATTCATCATGTAAATAGCACCATATGTATTAATTATTTAGTATAATATACAGGCCAAAGGGAAAAGGTACTTGCCCTTTACGCCCCTTTCTTTGTGGGCTTCATCTCCTTGGCTTTGCAGGGTCATAAGCATGAAGTAGACACCTTTTCTTTCTAACAACTCTTCATGCGTGCCTTTTTCCACAGCTGCTCCATGTTCAAACCCGATGATCACATCTGCAGCTCTGACTGTTGATAGGCGATGGGCAACTGAGATGATTATGTGCTCGTGCTGAATCTGTCAGGGGACATGGTGTACCTCTAAGGCTGTAAGACTGTAAGACAGAACCCATGCCAACCTTCACACCATCCCTGAGACCACAAGGAATTCAGTTTTGGACCCTAGGAACATCCTTCACAGGTTATGCATATATCAGAAAGAGCCAACAGTCTCTTGTAGCCATAAATCACATCACAGATTGACCTGGTGGCAGAAATTAATCATTAGTTTAATAAAAGGGGGCTTAAACCACGTCACACTTCCTATGAGTTTAATTTTACATTGCATCTTTAGGGAGTAAATCACAACTATGTTCTGTTCAACACAAAATAGATGGCAATTGACCAATATTTTACAAATTTTCAGACTGAGTATACTGGCCTGTTAGTATCACTCCCTCCTTGAGGGGCCTGTGAAATGAACTGACTCTCCACAAACCTTATTCAGAGCTTCTTGTACCCTGGCTTCGCTCTCATTGTCTAGTGCCGAGGTAGCCATGTCCAAAAGCAGGATCTTGGAATTCCGGACGAGGGCTCGAGCAATGGCTACCCTTTGCTTCTGACCACCACTCATCTGGCTTCCTCCTTCTCCAACAAGGGTGTCAAATTGCTAGGAGTCATGAAGAAGAATTTGACAGCTTCTGATAGTGCTCCAGTATTCCTTCTAACTTTTTTTTTCTCAAGTGTGAATTTTTACAGGCCCAACTTTTACTGAAAGAAACAGCCCTCTCTGAAACAAATTAAGCAATCAATATTTGCATGTGAGATAATTGGTGCATTGAACTGTGTGAATGTTCCTTCTTAGTTCATGTCCAAATAAAAAATTTGCAACCAAAATGAAAATTGATTAGTCTTGAAAACCCAGAATAGGAGACTAAGTCACATACCACAATCTTGTCTCTGTTCTCCTGTTGAACGCAAAGCAAAACACAGTGCTAAACCTGTCTTTATATTGTGAGTGAAAGATCAAACTAGTTTTTAATACTTCTTGCTGTCACAGCAAATCCTGACTGAGCATCCCACAGAACTAACTTCACACTGAAATGTAACAATGGAGTATTAGAAGTCAAATTTTTTACTTTCTTAGTATCAGCCAAAAATGGTTGAGCTCTTTACCGCAGATAAAGCATGGTTGCTGATGTTCTACATATATTAAGCCGAGCATGATGACAGAGGCAGGCAGATCTCTGAGAGTTCAAGGCTAGCCTGGTCTACAAAGCAAGGAAGGAAGTTTAAATTCTACATGTAGTCCTCATAACCCCAAGCGGCAGGTACTGCTATTTGTCTTAATGGCTGAACAAGGATTGATGGTTGAACGTAAAGGATTAAACTAACCTGGTGAAGTTCATAAAGCTAGAAGGTGGAGAAGTTGGTCTGATGTTGAGGCAGTATAAACAGGACTGAAGTGATTCCTTTAGCTGTCAGACTATGGCAACCTCATAACAGTGCTACCCAAAAAGGTGATTTAGAACGTTTGGTGGTTTGAATGAAGATGTCCTCCGTAAGCTCACAGGGAGGGCGTTGTTTGAAATGCTTTGTTGGAAAAAGTGTGGCCTTCTTCGAGGGAGTGTGTCACTGGGGGGTGGGCGTTGAGGTTTCAGAAGCTCAAGCCAGGCCCAGTGGCTCTCTCTATCTTCCTCCTGTCTGCAGATTCATATGCAGAACTCTCAGCTACCTTGTCGGCTCCATATGCCACCATGCTTCCTGCCCTGAACATAATGGGCTAAGCCTTCGAACTGTAAGTTAGTCTCAATGAAATGTTTTTCTTTTTTAGGAGTTGCTGTGCTCATGGTGTCCCTTCACAACAATAAAACCCTAAGACAGAGGGTAAGTGGGATATATTCAAGGTCAGTGTCTCTGGAACTTGACCACCTGCTATGACTTTCCTATTTATGGATTGTATAATTGTGGGCCATTATTGACCTCCCAGAACATAATCCTTCATCCTGAAGATGGCCGTCATAGTAGTTGCTACCTGACAAAGTGGTTGCGGGGGTTAAATAAGCTTACATATGTGAAGTGCTAGAACAAAGCCTGCAATGTATTTAAAATCATGCATATGCCACTAGTAAGTGTACTGTGACTTAGAGATCATCATGGCAAATACAGTAAATGTAACACAGAGCTGGTTTTTGTAGACATGGTGATCATACGGAATGGAGGCCTAATGAGGAACTCTCGAATTTGTGAGATTCAGGTCTAAGAGCACAACAGTTAAACTGTGTCAGCACAAGAAAACCAGGTTAATTGCCAACTTGATGGATTTGAAGCCACCTAGGAGACACACCTTTGGGCACATTTTGAGAGTGCTTGTGGAAATGGTAATCAGCGAAGAGAAGGCCCACTTCTCTCCATGGGATAGTGTAAGATGTCCACTATCCCATGAGCTGGGGTAAAAAGACAAATAAAATGCAAGCTCAGCACAGGCACTCATCTCTCTCAGCTTCCTGCCTACCAACAAGTGTGAACGGATGTGTCATGCTCTGCCATGTTGTATTGTATCCTCAAACTGTTAGAATAAATCCTTCCTCTCTGAAGTTGCATCTTATCAAGTATTTGGTTACCACCTTGTGGTGTCGTTGGGAGCCAGTAGGGCCTTCAAGAGTAACTTTGTGGAAGGAACTTGGTCTGCTGAGTGGGGTTGGGAGGGAGGTTGGGGGTTGGAGGAGTAGGAGAATGTAGCCTTGAAAAAGACATCAGGATTTTGGCCTTTCCTCTTTCTCTATTTGCTTTCTGGCTTCTGAAAGGTGAGCTGTTTATGCTCTGCTACACTCTCCTTCTATGATGTTCTATGTTGCCATAAGCAAAGTAACCATATGCCCAAATAAATTTTCCTCCTTATAACTTACTTACCTTGTGTATTTTGTCACAGTAACTGAAAAGTGATTAACAAGCAAGAAAACATTTCTCAAGCATTGCTTCATGACAAATATTGCAAAAAAAAATTTCAACACATGCTTAATAGATAGACAAAGATATCATCTCTATACCAAAGGGATCTTTCTAAAAGCTAGATCTCCACTTTGGTAGCTGTCAAACATATAAACAATATATTTTCATATGAAAGGGAAAACATGTTATATTTCCAGGCATAAATCTAGAGCATGCCATTAAAGATGTAAGGACTGAGGATTCAAGTGAACAAACTAACTCTTCCCTTGCTGACTTCTGTGCTCCCCTGGACTGAAAGTAGGGTACCTGTGGCAGGGCCATAATGAAGTTGTAGGCATTGGCCTTTTTGGCAGCTTGGACTATGTCTTCCATTGTTGCATCTTCTCTGCCGTAGCGAATATTTTCTGCGATGGTTGTGGAGAAGAGAACGGGCTCCTGCTCCACTATCCCAATTTGATCTCTCAGCCACCGAATGTTAAGAGAGCGAATGTCATGGCCATCCAGAGTCACCTAGAGAACAGAAGAGCATCACACAGCTTGGAGACCTTCAAGCTTCTGAATCATAATGTTAGGGGATACTTGACCACTGGAGAGGATAACCAGAGACTAACAAGACTATAATAGAAACAGTTCCCATGGAAAGGTGGCTGTTCGTGCAAGGATATCAGTGTGCAATTGTAACTGAGTTAAACAATACAGAAATTTACTGTAGAAACACAGGTGAGGTAAAGGTCGCTTGACTTCTCGCTGCTACCCTCAGAATGGGCACATTTTGAATTTCTCTGGAGAGTAAGCAGGTATTCGCCATACTCTGTGTTACCGTTATTGTCTTTTGGCTTGTGTCCAAAAAGGGACTTCAAAAGCTACAATGAAAGCAAGCACTAGCCCCTATTTTGTAGGAGTGTTTATAGTAAATCTTTCTTTCAAATCTGATTCATCAAATAACACTTTGCTGCTCAAAGCAGTTGAAACTACAAAGTTTGTGAACAAACAAACAAAAGCATTATAGGAAAATGTAAAATGATGTTAAATTAAAAACAAAAATCAAGTTGACAACATTACCGCTTGCATCCCCTCAGCCCTGTTGAAAGTTTCTGGAAGATACACACCATGCCTTCACAGGGGTCATAGAATCTCTGGATGAGCTGTAACGCTGTGCTCTTCCCGGACCCACTGGATCCCACCAGAGCCGTTATTTCCCCTGGTTTAATGACCATGCTGAGGTTGTTTAAAACCTGAAGAGGAAAGAACATTTTTTTTTAAAAAAAAAAAGTTTATAATGTCACTGGGCACTTCCCCAGGCAATTAAACCATACATAGGAGGCTTTGTGAGGATTTGTATAGTGTATCCATGCCTCCCGAAGAAGCGTGAATGTGTGTGTGTGTGTTTACTTATGCCCCATGACACTGTCCATATACATACATCAATCAACAACAAAAGGAGACTGTCTGGAAAGAGGTTTTACCATTAGCACGCTGCCTAATAGCTGTGGCCAACAATCAAATGATAATGTATTAACACTGGTAAATAAACAAGGGTCACCTTTAAAATTATGCCTCAAAATCTAATTTAAAATACATCTGACCTACTAGGGTACCTTAAGGTGTCACTCCCAATTAGTTAAATAAGCAGCTCCTCTGAGTCATAAGTGTAATGATAACTCATAAATCAAGGATCAGAAATAAACCAGTTTGCCGATGAGATGTTTGAATGGTATCCGAGTCTATTACTTGAATAACATGGCCTAATAAATGTGTGTGTTGTGTTTCTAGATTAAAAACTCTGTGAAGGGCAAGGACTAAATATTAGTAGGTGAAATTAGGCTTTGGTTCTGTGAGTACAGCAGAAATATTATTAATAAAAGGAAAACAGAGATACTAAGTTTGAATGAAAACAAGCATTATTTCAAAGCCAGTTCCTTCGAGGGGGCAGATGGGGGTTTCCTATAGAGTGGAGTTACCTCTAGCGATCTTGCTCTGTAGGCTCTAGAAAACAGTATATATATCTCTCACAGTATGCCCTAGAAAATCACCAAGCACAAGATACAGAGAGCAAGAGCACCAGGTGACCAGCTAGGGGCCTAGGAAACCTCTGGGTAGGAAGTAAAGTCGCTCCCAGCTGCCGGTTCTGCCAGTCACACCCTCCCTGGACATGCTCCACTCCTGTGGTTTCCAGGGAGGTGGTGATCGGAAGCTGTACCACCTGATTGTCTTGCTTGCCTGACAACATACCTGGAATGGCAGAATCTGCTGGCCACTCATTTCAACAGAGGATTCCCCTGGCTGACTCAGCCGGAGCCTTGTGCTATATTGTGTTCCAATTCGCACGTTACAACCATCGCTTAGAAATGAAGTGTGGCCCTAAGTTGGCACAGTATCCAAGGGATACTTCCAGGGAAACACACCTCTGTCCTCTGTTCGTGGAAACTGAGTCACCACACAGAAACCAGTGTGTGGACCTGAAAATGAATTCCTCAAGAGTAGAACATCAGGCAAAAGGTGAACACTCACCTTCACTTCTGGCCTAGAAGGATAGTGGAAGGTCACATTATGGAATTCAATTTCGCCCTTGATTCGGTCTAGCTTGTAACCGTCTTCTGACATGCAGTCAATGGTGGGTTGCTGGAGCGCAATGCGAAGATACAGTGACAATGAGTGCCGTGTACATTTTGTGTCCATCCTAGTATTAGTTAACTCACAAAGTAAAACTGGGGCTGGAGAGACAGCTCAGTGGTTAAGAGCACTTGAGGCTCTTGCAAAGGACTCGGGTTCGATTCCCACCACTCCCAAGGTAGGTGATTCCCAATCATCCATAATCCCATTTCCTGGGGAGCTGATGTTCTCTTTTACCTCCACGGGCACCAAGCACGCATGTGGTGCACATACATACATGAAGGCAAAATATGCAGGAAAATGAAATGAAAAAATCTAATAAAAATTTTTGTTAAAGCAGAACTCTTTCTGGGCAAAATATAGTAGAAATACGCTAAAGATAAATTGCTTCCATATTCCATGTTTACAAGAGCAATACCAATCACTACTGTTGAGATTGCTAAGCTATTCTTAGATTACTATATTATTGTTGAATGTGACATTAATAGGATAGCAGAGAGTTTTATTTATTTAATTACTATTATTTGTTGAACTATTCCTGTAAGCTTATATAGTATTAATATTATATGATGTGAAGAAAGCTTTGTTTATTGATACATAATATACAATGTTAATATAATTAGCATTTATTGTAAATGCTATATGACACACTTATATTTATATTACTGAGACGATGGAAGGAGTTTTGATGTACCTCTTGAATTTACATTGTTGTTACGTTCTGGTGAGATAGGGAGGAACCTCTGAAAGTGTTCCTTCCCCAGGGTGAGACAGCTCGCCAGCTAGGCTGGGGCTGGTAGCCCTCTACATTTGATAGCCAGTGCAGATGGTGGGTAAAATTAAGTGTCCACAAAATGTTCTCAAATATCACCAAGTTGGCACTGTGCCCTGAATCCACTCTTCTGCTACTGGTGACATCAATCTAAGACAACCATTCTGGGTCACCAGACAAGGAAGAGCTCCTCCTCTTCCTCTGAGAACATTCCAGGTTGGACTTTGTCCATCTTCCACACTAGTCAAAGGAATTCATGACCGTGGCCCTATCAGCGGATATACTGCAATCTATTTTCTTTTTCTCAAGTGTCTAACGGGGATAATAAAATAAAATTTAAATGCCTAAATTTTCCGTTGTTTTCACAGGGATTCTTTGCAGTCATCACTTTATCTGAGACTGTGACAGTCCTAAGAAGAAGGTAGCATTAGAAAAGGTCAAAGGACTGAGAGATGGCTCAGTGGTTACAAGTACACACTTGCTCTGCAGAGGACCCAGGTTCGGCCCCCAGCTCCTGCAGTGGGGGACTCACAACCATCCTAATTCCAACTCCGGGGACTCTAACGTTTTTGACCTGAGCTCACATGCACAAGCAGACAGACAGTTATACACACATACACAGTTAAAACCAACAAAATAAATATTTTCAAAAGGAAAATATTAACGTATTCCAGGTTATGGACCCACAGCACAAAGCAGCTTCCTCCAGTAGGTGACCACATCATTGTTTGCCAGAAAATAACCATTTTTCTTGACCCATAACTCTTGGTCCAGGGTGCTTTTTCCAAAGGAAGAAGACAGCAGAGTGCAGTCTTATCCCTTCTCTCCTTGGTCTGTGGTTGCCAGACAGGACTTTCAATGAACTTCCAGAAATTAACCAGCAATGCCCACCCAGGGCTAGCAAAGTCCTTTAAAAACTTAAAGAGACTTCCCGCCAGAAGAAATTCCAGGCTCATGGATATGATCTTAAACCTTTTCCCATTCCTCCAGCCTCTGCCCTGGATCACTTTGGTCATTCACACTGGACTTTCTTATCTTCTTGAGTTCACCAAGCTCTTTCCCAACCAACAAGTTTCTCAACCAGGAATTCCTTTTCCTTTCTTACTTCCCAATAACCCCATTTAAAGGTTCCCCCCACAAAATAGTCATAACACCTTGTCCTATTTTATCTCTTTTATTGGATCTGATGTTATCTTTAAATGTTTATTTCTTGTTATGTGTTGTGGTGCGCACCTTTAATCCTTTAAACACACCTTTAAACATACATACAAGCCAGAGGCAGGTGGATCTTAGGGCCAGGTCTATGTAGCGAGTATTAGACTTGTCTCTAACAAACTGTTTATTTCTTTGCAGGTGTCCCCAGTATGAGTGTGAAAGCAGGAACATAAATTGTTCTAACTCTGTTGGAGGTTGGCCTGGTGCTGTCTATTCTAATGTTAATCACTGGCCCCAAGATCTAGTCCCTGCTCAGAAGAGCACATTCTCACATAAACCTATCCTTGTTTTGTAAACCTGCCTAAATCATTATATCTTGGTTGATTAAGCAGCCTATACCTGGGCAGGACAGAATGGGGCAGGCATGGCTAAGATTCCTGAGCTTTAGGAGGTTCAGGAGAGAACCATGGGAAACAGATGGACGTGAAGAGAGGAAGGAGGATGCCATGATAAGTTAGCGTGGAGAAGAAACCACGAGGGCTGTGAGGAAGGACTTCAACAGTGGCGTGAGAAGGCCCTGATGAAGAATATAAGCAAGTTCCATGGGATTATGGATGGAAGGTAGACCAGATGAGGAGGATTCAAGTGGATGGCATTGGATGGGGGCTGAGAGATGGATGGTAAGGTTCAGTGTAGGTGAAATATCTGCCCGGCCCAAGGTAAATAAGGCAATTATAAAATCTAAGAGGTGTCTGCGTCTTATTATTTGTGATAGCAGGTTAAATAATACTACCATGATAATCTTAGTGCAAATAAAAAATAATAAATAGCCCAACACTTTTTTTTTTTTTAACTACAACATAACTCACAGGCTGGTTTCCAGATCGTAGAACCCATTCAGTACATATCCCACTAAATAATTTTTTTTGGGGGACGGGATTTTACATACCCTGTCTATTGTTTGAAAAATACTGGTAGCTGCTGAACGCCCAGTAGCAAAGAATTCCAAGGAAGAAGTTGCGTGGCCAAGATTTAAAGCAGCTATTATGATACAGAGGAAAATCTGAAATAAAAAACATAGTTTTTATACATTTTTGCCAGTTTGTAAGTTTACCATTTGGAGCACCCTTGTGAATTCCTAAGAACTCTCAGAAATGTTTTGCAGTTAAGTAGTTTACGGGCTCTTCAGGAACACAGAAAATATCTTTTGCTCTGTAAAGCATCTCTCCATAGTTATACTTTAAAATACTTCTTCTACAGAGCAGAGGAACTGAGTAAGTGGTGCAAACAGGCAGATAAGAACAGTACTTGTCTAAACATTTTTAAGATCACCCTCTCCAGAGACCTCCCTCTTCAGCAAAGGCATTCGTCCTGTGTCCTAGATCCAGAAGCAGCAAACACATATTATAAAAGCCCACTAGTGAACAGCTCAGGTTCTCCAGGCCCGGAGGGTTCTGAACCCATGTGTGTCATGTAATAAACCATAGAGTTCAAAAGCAAACATAGTGATGATCGTGGCTGTGTCCCGTAGAGCATCTTTATAACAAACGGATGAGGAATAGATCTGGACCAATGGCTATGTGACTGAGTCACTGGAGTCTTTAATTGGAGACTATAGGTCAACCTCTGCTTAGCCTGGCTTTATAAGCCGTTACCTCAAGCAATTTTCTCTATGGAGGGTCATAGAGAGGCCATAAGTGAGAGAAGACAGACATATATGGTCAATGCGATTACAGTAGGCAGCACACACTCTAGGTAAGAAGTCTCCAACAGAAATGTCATAGCTCCATAGAAAGGCAAGAAAAGAGACCACAGGGAGCAGGCAGTACATGGGACACCCTTCTAGAGATTTCTGTCCCTTACCACACAGATCTGGAGGAAGAAAAACTAGCTAATGGGCGAATTGAGACCTGAGCACGTGTCATTCTCTATGGCACTTAGCATATATTTCTGAACCTCATGGTTGCCTTTCATTTTTGTAGTGGTAGAATCATGACACCAGTCACAGTAAAGTTATGCATATTATTTACGGTAATTACATTAAACACCCCACTCAGTGCCTCATGCCTAAAATACACTGAGTGAATGTTATTTTCTATTACTGTTACTACTCTTTACTGTTGAGACCTGAAATCTAAATGAAAAACCAAAATTTCACCCTCATCTAGTTCCTCTTCATGTTACCCTAATAGAGCAGAGAGCAAGTTTTTGTCTGTACACAAGTTGATACTAATTACTGTAATCTATGTGTACTGCTTCTCATTTATACCCAATGCAGATATAAGTCTGTGCACAACAAAATTAATTGTGATTAATTAATTAAGCTAGATTAATCTGATTGTTAATTAGTTTAGTGACTTAAAACATTGAATTCAACTCAAGAGTACTCAGCTTTTGTATTTGCTGTATAGAAATATAGCCAAGAGCTCTCTCTCTCTCTCTCTCTCTCACACACACACACACACACACAAATGAGAGAGAGAGAGCTTATCATTAAAGAAAATCTTTACAATGAGGCACATATCAAGGCAAGATGTAAGCAGAGCATTATAGAAAGAAGTTGAGAAAAAGAGGATATAATTGTTGATTAAAATGTTAGAGTCACACAGTAGGTCATGTCCCACATATAGTAAGAACTTAAAAACTATTCATTGAAATGCTGAACTTCTCAGGGAAGGTCTAGCAGGTTTGTTCAACCAACGTTGCTGACTTCAAAGTTCATACAATCAAGTCACAAAACAAAACAAAAAATAAACATCCCTCAAAATATTTTAAGTAAGTTTCAAAATTTTGTTGGACCGTATTTATAGCTTCCTTTGGCTACTTGTAACATGTGGGTGGCTGAATGAAAATACATGATAGGTGTTCCCATGGTTAAATTGCCAGGAAACTTAAAAAAAGATGAGTACCATAAAACCAGGATCTATGGATCGTCATTTGCTATGGTGGTCTGAATGAGAATGGCACTGATAGGCTCATAGATTTGCAGGCTTGCTCCCCAGTTGGTGGAACTGTTTGGGAAGGGTTAGGAGGTATGGCCTTATTGGAGGAGGTATGTGTGTGGAGGGGGCACTTTTAGATTTTAAAACCCTATGCCATTTCCCATTTAGTTCTCTCTCTCCCTCCCCCTCTTCCTCTCTATCTCTGTCTCTCTCTCTTTCTCTCTCACCTGAAGAACAAGATGGAAGCTCTGAGCTATTGCTCTAGTGACATGCCTGCCCGTCTACTGTCATATTCTCCACCATGACAGTCATGGGCTCAGTCTCTGGAACTGAAATACCCAATAAACTCATTCTTCTACAAGTACCTTAGTCTTGCTGCTTCTCCACAGCAGTAGAAAACTAAGACAGTTACTAAGGGGTTCTAGTTTGATTTCCTGTGTTGTGACAAATATCACAACCAAAATCAGCTTGGGAGGAAAGGGTTTGCTTGGCTTACAAGTCACAGTGTATTACTGAGAAAAGCTGAGACAGGAACCTGAAGTCAAGAACTCCTCACTGGCTTGTTCCCTATGACTCCTTAGCTAGCTTTTTCATATAGCCCAAGACTACCTGTCTAGGGATGGCACTGGCCATAATAGTCTGGGCCCTCCAACAGCAATCAGCAATCACAAACATGAATGAAAACCATGCCCTACACACATGCCCACAGGCCAATGTGATGAAGGCAGTTCCTCAACTGAGTATCCCTTTCCACGTATGTAAAGTTGACAACTGAAGCCAGGACACACAGGGACTTTTACTCAGAGCATTCAGTTGACCTTGTGGGTCATTCAATTTTCAATTTACCAATTCACTTCCCCTCTGAACTTTTGTTCATGAATTCCACTCTTCTTGGGGCACAGATGCTCCGTGAAATTGAACAGCCAAAGCTAAGTTCAACTACTGGCACCTTTGATGGGCAAATGTATAGCATAAAAGCTTTTAAATTATTTTAATTACATTTGTTTGTTTATTGGGAGTTGCATGTGAGCCATAATGCAGGTGTGGAGGTCAGAGGAGGACCTACCTGAGTCAATTACCGCCTTCCTAATGAGTCTCAGGGATTGAGCCCAGGTCATTGCGCTTAGCAGAAAGAGCCTTTATCCACTGAGCCCACTCACCAGTCCGAATGTCTAAAGCTTTTAGAAGTGATTGGATCAATAAGGAGAAAGAACTTTGTGGTCAGGTTTCAGACCTACAATACTTTAACGTTTCCAATGTGCCAAAATAGATCTAACGTTGCAGGGAGAACAGCAAATGATGATAAATATTAACACTTTCCATACTATCATTCAAAGTTTACGCAGCACCTGAACATGTGCTATCACATTCGGTGTTTTTAAACAAAGTCCAAAGCTGCGCCAGCTGCTTCAGCAAACACAAAGGCGATTTTAAAGCACTCTGCTGCTCCACTGTCTTGCTCAGAAGGACAGGCGTTGGAAAGCCACCCCTCTTGCCAGTGCAAATGCCCCCACTTTCCCTAGACGTGTGTCAGTAACAAACAGTGGAAGAACCACTTTTGTTATTGTTGTCCACGCTACTTTGGATGGATCTGGTGCATGGCAAATGCACAGTGAAGGCTAGTGGAGTGGATAACTGAAAGGATACTGCAACTCAAAGTCACTATAACATCCCACATATGACTTACATAACATGCTTGTATCACTTACTCAGTTGAAGATGTCACTGACTTGACGTATCAACAACCCATCATGCATACAGTACTTAGGCACACATCTTGTGCTATGACTGACTTCAGCTTTATGCCCTGTTCATCTTTAGCTGAGAGGTCAGTGACTTTCCATTTCCATGGATTATTATCTTTTGGGATGAGCTTGAGGCTTGCTGTTGTACAGCTGTAAAATCTTTAATTGGAAATCATCGACTTGCTGGTCTCATCAGCCCAGGTGTTCAGCCTCTCCTCACCAAAATGTCCTAGTATTGTTGCTCTTGCAGATGGAGTTCAGCAAACCGCTGAAGCCTTCCTGCCTGGGACCTTAAAGCAATAATCCTCGTGGCTACCTACTACTGACGGCTTTTCTGATACGCTAGGAAGAAAGACCATATGTAGAAAACAAGAGCAAAGTACCTGGACCAGTGTCCCCGGGGTATACTCTTTTTCATCCAGGACAAGTGTGGACCCATACCAGAAGGCCAGCGCATAACAAAAAAAAATGAGGCACCATGTGTACCCGGTAAAGAATCCCATCACCATTCCTTTTCTGATTCCCCAGTACTGGGCAGATACAAGATTTTTCTCATACCTGTAAACAAACAAACAGACAAACAAACAAACAAAAGTTAGGATCAATGCCAGTCTGAGCAGCTCAGGGCAGAATTTCTAAAATGGGTCACGATGCAGTTTCATTCAGTGGTTCTAGTCATCTCCAAACAAAGCTTCTTAAGCTGCTTGCAGCTTGGAAGAGGAGCAGGGGAGTAACCGAGGCCCCAGGAGAAAACAATTTCTTCACAAATGTCTTTATTTGGAATCCTGTTGCTATTTATGTTTAAAATGTTTCCTTGGAATACACATCATGTTTTCTATCAGAAAATAAGGCAATTGCCTTTAAATTGACAGACTAGATTAGTTCACATGGTAAGTTCCAGGACAGCCAAGACTACATAGTGAGACTGTATCTCAAGCCAACAAACAAACAAGCTCAAAAATATTAACTAAATTACAAAAAATAAATAAAATCTTTTTTTCCTCTCCCCCGCCATGGCCAAGACAGAGTTTCTCTGTGTAACCCTGGCCATCCTAGAACTTGCTGTTTGCCTCAAACTCAGGAGACTTGCCTGCCTCCTTTTTCCAAGAGCTGGGATTAAAGGTGTGTATCCCCACTGCCCTGTTATAAAATCGTATTTTTGACAACTGCATCAAATTTGCAAGTTAAGTTTTTACTTTCATTAAAAATTATTCTCTAGAATGATTTATTATAATTCATCAATGTTAAATCTTGTTTGGTTAAATGAAAAATTATAAGGGTTATTAAATTCATTTAACAGCACAGGAGCTTCACAAAATATTTTCAATTTTAAAAACACATGGGGCTGACAAGACGACCCACTGAGTAAAGCACCAAGCCCAAGGACCCAAGTTTGAGCTCGCTGATCCACATGGTAGATGGGGAGATTCCGAGATTCTGCTCCTGCAAGTTGTCCTTTGACCTTCACTTGTCAGCTCTGAGCACACACCTCTCCTTTCTTCCCCCCAAAAATAAATAACATGTTTTAAAAACTGAAAAAAGTGGAATTATACTTTATATCATATTATTCTTCCTTCCTTCCTTTCTTTCTTCCTTTCTTTCTTTCCCTCTTATTTCATTCTTTCCTTTCTTTCTTTTTTCCTTTTCTTTTTGGCATAGTAGACAAACCACCAATTTCAATGGATGCAAACATCTTCCTGCCTCAGTGTCCTTTGTGCTAGGATGACAGGCATGAGTCATAGTGTTAGGGTCCCTTAGTCTTTGAAAATGTAAATTAAATTAATTTTTTTGCTAATACATAAAAACATCCCATAATATATAATGATTGAATAAAATGTAATGCTTTGATGCATGTAGACATTGTGTAATGTTTAAATCAGATATATATATATAAACATATAAATATATATTTAAATAAATATATACACACACACATACTCTCAATCATTTATCATCTGGGTGTGGGAGTGAACTAGAGAGTCAGAGGTAGGAAGGAAGATTCCAAGTTTAGGGACAGCCTTGGGTACATAGCAAGTCAAAGGTCAGCCTAGGTTACATAGTAAAAAAGAAAAAGAAAAATCCCAGGACAAACTTTCAAAATCCTTTTTTGCTTCTTTGAAATATGCAGCACATTGCTATCTGTAGCTGAGGAACTTCCTCCCAATTGTAACATCAAATCCTTTGATCGCTCTTTCTCCACCCACCTCTCCCTGCCGCTCTGGTAGCCATCACTAGCCTTAACTTCTGTGTTATCATGTCTAGGTTCCTCATATAGAAGCGCAGTTGTGTAGCTGTTCCTAAGCCTGCCTTGTTTCACTTGACACTGCATGTTGTTAGAAATAAAAAAAGTGTCCCTTTCATGGTCAAATTGTATTGCATTTTAATCTACTGATTGGTTAATAGACACGAAGGTTGGCTCCACTCCTTAGCTCTTATGAACTCCACACAATAAAGATGAATATGCAGATGTCTGCTGCACCTACTCATTTCATTCCCTTTGGATATATCCCTAGGAGCGGGATTGTTGGATCATATGGCTGCTCTCATTTTAATTTATTGAGGAACTTCTTTGCTGTTTCACATAATATATCTGATACTCATTTGTATTGCTATCAACACTGTGCTCCATATCCTCATTGGCCTTGTTATCTTTAGCCATTTTGCCAACAGTTACCCTTGCTAGGATGAGGGAGTTTTGCATGTTAGTTTTGAGTTGCATTTCCCTAGTAACTAGTCAGCATGATGAATCTGTTCTAAGAGACTTGTATTTGTGTGACTTCTTTTACAAACTGTCTACTTAACCCTATAGCTCATTTTCAAGCTGGACTAATCATTATATTACTAGTGCACTTTTAAAGGTTTCTTACATATTCTCTGTATCAATCCCTTGTCAGATGCATAGACTACATATAGCTCCTCCCTTTCTGATGGCTGTCTTTTTCAGTGTGAGCTCTTTCCTTTGTGCCTGGGAGCTTTTTAATGTGATGTGAAGTACCATTCATTTATTCTTACTGACTTTTCTTATCTTTTGCATTTCTGTGTTGTCTGTTGTAGTGTCTCTTTAGGTTCTTCTTTAATGGCAGAAAATGCTGAAGGCTGACATGAAGTATAATATGTATGCTTTTGTATCATCAGAGTTTAAAACACGTTTCTTGTCTATCTCAGCTCTCTAAAACCATCTCCAAAAGAATATTGTACTGGGCATGGTAGCACATGCCTTTTATTCTAGTGCTCAGGTGACTGAGGCAGAAGACTATGAGCTCAAGACCACTCTGGTCTATATAGCAAGATCCACAAGAGAAAATGAAACCCCAAAACATTGCTTTAGAGTTTTTCAGCACTTTGGCCATCAACATTTGCTGATCCACCTCTTGAACAAATGTCCTCTCATATTGTTCTAAATGGTAGTGGATCTGCCACTTCACATAAAATGAAATAGTCAGGAAACTGTATTGATTTATGAAATTCAATAAACCAACAGACATTCAAAATAACCAACCTTTCCACCTCTTTATTCTCACCACCAAAAGCAGCCACTGTTCGAATAGATGAAAGGACTTCATCAGCAACAGACCCTGCTTTGGCATAAGCCTTCAACTCAATCTCTGTGAACTTGGACACACTCTAAAATCCAAAAGAATAAAAGGAAAGCGATTCATTTAATAAAATGAGAAGCTGGCGTGGTTTAGCAAAATTATTAGATTTTCACTGTAACAAAAGAGGAAAAAAAGAAGCTGATCCAAGATCTGCTTGTGTTAAACTCTCCCATGGGTGTTTAGATTTTGGTACATGAAAATAATGGTAAAGCCTGTCTCAATGAAAATGTTCTCACAGAGTTAAGTGACCTCAAACCTGGTAATACTAATGTTTCAGCTGTTATGCTAATGAGGTCCCTAAGCCAAATTATGACATATTCCTTTGCTATTGGGAAGAAATCATTGCAGAATTTACAAACATCAGAGGTGAAGACTGGAGGCCTATGTAGATACATGGTTGGCTAGAGTAGAGAATGAGAGAGAGAGAGGGGATCGGGATACAGAGAAGCACAGCATCGAAAAAGTAATTCTAAAGGAGAAAGCATCAGATAAATATTTTGACTCAAATATAAGGGGTTTACTACATTTTTAATTTTTCCAAAAGAAAAAGACCACTGAGCTTAGTAATTTTTTTTTTTGTAAAAAAAATCACTTTTCTAAAACTGGATTTGCACTGAGTCCTAGTCAAAAGGAACTGGACATGGTGACATACGCCTGTAATCAAATTACAGCAAGCGCAAAGTAAAAGCCAAAGAAAGAGGGATTGAAGGTCAGCCCCATCTCCATAATGAGTCTGAAGCCAGTCTGAGATACAAGAGCCTGTCAGAAGCAAAACCAACCAAACAACAATAAGAAAGAATGGGGGAAGTTAACATTGTGGAAACTGACCTAACTCAGAAATCTCAAAAATATACAGTACTCAGCTGATGAAAGTGTGCGTTCTGACAGGTTTTTTTTCCTAGACTTTTAGCAGAACTGCTACTAGCAAAATATTAGAATTCTTAAATATGAAATAAATAAAAATAACTTCAACAACATATTTATTATTTCCTCAAGTCCACATTTTATGATATCTGATTGAAAAGGCTGCTTTTACCTATACTGCCATTTGCATTCAAGTTTGATGGATGACATTATAGCTTTTGTCCCAGCTTTATCTAATTTGTTCATGAAATATATACATTTTTGCAGAATAGGAAGAACATTGAAAAGTTATAAATGAGATCAGTTTTATTTTAAAGCCTGATTACTTAAAAATAGGACACATTGGGCTGGGTAGTGGTGACGCACACCTTTAATGCCAGCACTTGTGAGGCAAAGGCAGGTGGATCTCTGTGAGTTTGAGGCAGCCTGGTCTATAGAGTGAGTTCCAGGACAGCCATGGCTACACAGAGAAACCCTGTCTCAAAAAAAAAAAAACAAAAACAAAAAACAAGACAAACAAACAAAAAAAACAACAACAAAAAATAGGACATATGGGGAGTTTAAAAAAACATGTATTTGGTAATATTTGACAACTGTGCATGTTTCTCCTCTTGAAGAGAAAGACGTTACAAAAACATACAAAGCCTACAACTACCACTGGTGTGTCATATGTTGCCTATCACTGCTGTGTGTGTGTCTGTCTGTCTGTCTCCTATCTTTGACTCACATGCAACAACGTTTCTCATATCAGTTTACAGGGACAACCAAGCATACACAGGAGTGTAAATGGAGTTAAGCGCAGAGCTAGAGCATTCCAAACGAAGAAGCTAGCATTTTAGGCACTTAGGTAACACATGGAATTGCACTGTGAAGTCTGGTTCAAACTATGCCGATTAGGCAATGGCTCTGCCTCCATGGTGTGAAAACACAGTGGTTACCCATGAGGACGCGTATATCAATCAATCATGGGTTTGAAAAATAAATAAATGAACACAGAAAGAAAAATAGAAGCTGAACAAAATTTCGTAGGGACCCCTTAGGGTCTTCGGTGGAATTTGAGGTTCTCTGGGGCAAATAAGGAAAGTGGTCTGTAGGAAAGCTAGTTCTAAAAGCTTGCAAGGGCTTGTGGGTTTTAAAAAATACTGAGGTATTTCTTTAACAATAATTTGTGTGTGTGTGTGTGTGTGTGTGTGTGAGCGCGCGCCAGACAGTGTATAATATGGATGATGCCCTAAATTAGCACATGACGTTGCTGCATTGAAGACAATGGAACTGAGGTTCTGAAGGGATAAATGTGTCATTTGTCAGGGATGCACACTTGTTCATGACCAGGGCAGATGGCTTTGGGCAGTGAATTCTTTGCTGCTGTCACTTTTAGTCCTTTTCTGTATTGCCTGGGAAGTGTTAAGTGTCATGGTCAGTGGCTGGGCGATTATGTTAGTAGAAGCTGTCGTCATGGTGATTATTGGGGGCTGTTTCTTGATATCTAAGTATTGCTCGAGTGTTCCCATTGAGTTCTCTCCCATTGGGTAAACCTTCAGCAAGCCTCATGCTATGACCTGTGATCTACAGATAATAATAACAATAATAATAATAATAATAATTTCTTCAACCTTGGGAGACTTCTAACTGCCATGACCCCAAACTCCTAGACTTGCACTTGGGCTTGGCCTGAGTTAAACTGGGGTGAGGGAGAGACACCAACAGAAAGGACGCTCAGAATGGGTCCGATGGACTAGAGACACAGCTGCAAAGGCAAAATCTTTTCGGAGTACTCATTGCTGATCTGAGTATACTTGTGCCCTTTTCAGCATCAGAGCCCGGAGGGCAGAGGGAAGTGGTAGAGCTCACCATGCTGGAGCATGGGTGAGGAGGATTCAGCATCAGGCTCCCGTGAACTGCTACACAGATCTTTTGGCTTCTCTGGGCTCCACTCATTGAATCTTAAACGATGTTAACACTTTTCCTTCTGAGTAACAATTAGAGGTAGTGAGTGTAAAACCCCTTTTAAAAGTACCTGGCGAAGCAGAAAGTTTTTAGGAACCGCAGTAGGTTGCTGTTAGCCAGATAATATTTACCTTACTAAAGCATTACTTAATAGCGAGAAGCAATCAAGCATTAGAAATCAATCTGGTAATCACATGGACTGTGCTTGGGAAAGGATCCCAAGCATCATGTTTTGTTTGGTCTTTTGCAAGTGTAAACGTGTGATTCTGTGTGTCTCGGAAAGGCTACCAGGCACCGGCGCCAGATGTGTTTCTGATCTGAGCGTTGTTGGTCTCCTAGGGGAAGTACAGTGTCCCAAATTCACTTCTGAGCTAAGCATCTGCCGGGCCGGAAACTCGGGACTCCAAGACTGAGTCAGGGGGTCCAACTGTGACAGTCCCGCAAGGAAGTCAAGTCCAGGGGTCCAACGGGGTCCTTCTTTCCCCAGTGCGACAGCTCAGAATGAACAACCAGTCTCAGACGATCTTCGGTGAAGTGGACGGTGCGCTCACAGGCGTGTTTTATTTCGTCTGAAACAGACTTAGAAACCTTGGGCAATGGGAGGGGTTTTGCGGAAGAATACAAGTCATTGGCTGGGACTAGAATGCTGTCGACGTTCTGTTTGCATGGGGAGCGACAAGCTCACGTGACTGACCATCTGTAACTACTCTGGGGGGCGAGGGGGGGGGAGTATTGTCACATGCTCCTGAGGCAGGTCCAGAAACAAAGAGAGAGCTTGGTGCCACATCTTTCATTGTCAGGATAAGATTGCAAATCTTAAGTTTGTGATTTCCAGGGTTTGAACCCCCACCTAGGCAGTTCTGTGTCAATTCCCCTGGAGGCACGGCCCGTGAACCCCGCATGAATGTACATCTTCCCATGGATCTAAGTAAAAAACAAAGCGAAAGCATTCTTACCAGACTTAGGATGGCTGCCCCGATCCCAATGAGAGGGCTGACAGTGAGAATAACCAAGGTCAGTTTCCAACCCCTGTAGAACCCTAAAAGGAACCCACAGATAGCTGTCGACATGCGCTGGATGAAAAGGGCCAACTGGTCGGCAATGGCGTCGTTGATTTTATTAACATCACTAGGAACAAGAGAGACGAAGGTCAATACAACTGAATCCCGTCATTTCAAGTGTTTGGTAAGGCAGCTCACTCTCTGGTCTGCCTCTGCTCCACTGTAGGGAGGGCTGCTTCTCAAACCTTCCAGAATTTCTCACCCCTGGGGAAGATACAAGCCTCTCTCAGCCGTGTGTCTTAGCTCAACTTTTCGAGCTAATATGAATCATCCCCAGGAAAAACTCCTACCACCTCCCTGTGTCTCCATAGCAAAGTAATTAATCTCTATAGTCTCTCTGTCTGTTTGCCTGTCTGCCTATCTGTCTGTATAGTTGTCTTTCTCTGTATCTGCCTGATTTCTCCTTCTCTTTCTACCCCCCTTCTCTGTGTATGTGTGTGTCTGTTTGTCTGTCCCTGTTTATTACATTCACTTGTAGGCAGTATTATATTCCACTGGCGGCTAAGAACACAGACTCTGGAACCACACTCTGAATTTGAATACAAGTTTTCCTTGGGAAAATTATTCAAGTTTTTGTGCATCAGTTTCCTCATTTGTAAAAAAGATAATCATAGCAAACTCCACCTTAGTGGCCAGTAATTAGTACCTGCAAGCATGTGGAGCTATGCCCAGGATCACCAGCAACCGATATGTGTTACTTTGGATACATTTTTTGCTTACTCATCTTATGCCTCCTACCATAGGCTTCAAGGTTCTCCAGAGCTTCAGGAGCAGAGATGGAAAGTATTCTGGAATATGGTTGGATATAATTCCACTAGACTCATAAATCTGTGAGCATTCCCTAAATTTCTTGACTAGATGGAGTCAACAGGGGTTGGTATTTAATAGCAAGAAGGAACTCAAGGGACTGCCCAGAGGTTAACTATTGTATTCTAGTGAGGTTAAGCATCTGTTGGCAGACCCCAAGAGGGAAGGGAAAGAGCTGGACTCTAGATGCCTGAACTTCCACTCTGGTGTTACTGGCAGACAGGCTATGCACGGGTGTTTCCACGCTGTTGGCCTCTTATCCAAAGAACTAAAAATAAAGGTTCACATAGATTTGCAAAAGAAGCAAGATAGCTTTATTCAGACTGAAGCGGCAAGACAGAGTACAGAGCATTGCCACTGTCGAGGTTGTGCAGGCCACAGAGTCCTCACAGGGTCCTCAAGGGCCCCGTGTCACATGGCCTGGAGCCTGTTTTTTTTTTTTTTTTTTTTTTTTGGGGGGGGGGAATCTAAAGAAAAGAGGGACTGGTTACTAAGGAGCATAGTTTGGATGGTTCTCTGCTTTCACTGACAGATTACGGCATTTATTCTTCCCATTAGAGATGCCTCTTCCTGTAGTACATCCGGCTTCAATCATACGCATGTCCAGTTATGCACAGGCATAGGATGGTAAATAGAAGATCTTCCCCAAGGTTTACCCGAGGACACAGTTCTGCTTTACTGAGCAGGTTCTCAAAAGCACTGTCGGTCCTTGTATTCTTCACACCCAGACATACTCTCAGTAGAAACTGTCCAAGTATGATGGTTGTTAAGGGAGGAGAGACGCACCTGACTGCTCAGAGAGAGCTCTGCACAAGTCCTAGATCTAGGGGGGTTCCGGGGTTCCAGGGTTGTCAGGTATATTGCTCAGAAGAGGGTGTGTGTGTGTCACTTGAAAGTGAAGGAACTAGGCTGCCAAGGACATTAAGGCAAGAGGGAGGGTGTGTATTTCCCAGACCTAACAGTCTCAAGTCACCCAGCATTCCTAACGCTTGCCTCCTCTTCACGACATATTGACTTTTGCAGAGCTTCAAAGCTCAGTTTGGCAGGGTCCAACTACTTGAAGCTGTTTTTAGGTCTGCTTCCTTGGTATTTGTTTTTTGGTGTGCATTTGATTGTTTGTTTTTTTTTGTTTGTTTGTTTGTTTGTTTTTTTTAACTTTCTCAAGCCACGTTTAGAATTTATTTTGGGGCTTCTTTCTGTGCCCTCATAGACATAGCAAAATAATCTTCCATGTGTATGTGAGTGGTCGCATCCCTCTTTCAGTTTCGCCTCATGTTAAAAAACATTATATATCTAAACTCTCTCCTGTAATAATTCACATCTAATATTTTGATCAATGTTTTATAAACAAAATTGTAATACCCTGACTTTTTAGTGACTATATTATAAGCTATCATCTATGAAAACGCCATACTTATGAAAGTCTAATTTATTTTTATTTATTAGATCAAGGTGTTGTGTGGCCCAGGCTGGCCTTGAACACTCTCTTGCACTTCTGATCATCCTGCTCCCGCCTCTCACCCACTAAACTAACAGGTTTGGGCAGCCATGTTTGCCAATCTATGAGAGACAGAGCAAACCAAATCCAAACTGAAAATGTTATCAAGTTGTTACTTAGGTTATAACCCCCAGTTGTTGTTTAATTGATACATTATAACACAGCTGCCCCTGCTACTTACTCAGAGAATCTTGCATTCAGCTCTCCCACAGAAGTGCAGTCAAACCATCCGATTTCCATTCTCATTATTCTCCGAAAGTAAGTTTTCCTCATTTTCTTAATCTGATGAGCCCCGGCCATTACCCAAAACTTTATCTGGAAATGGACAAAGGCGTGGATGATACTGTAGCCTTAAGCATAGTTAAGCAGCTTTGTCTATTCTTTCTCCTATTTCTGAAAAATCACACTTCCCATGGTTACAGCTGGAACTAAGTGAAAAGAAGGAAGCCATTCACAAAGCACCTTGACTTGGGCACTAAGGTATGACCTCTGACACCTCCTGCTACTGGGGAGGCGAGCTGAACATGCGTGAGGAGCAAAGATCCAGTTCTGGCGGTGGAGAGGCCGCCATCTTTGAATTTCACCTATTGAGTTCACTGTCTCCATCAGATGAAACAGGTTCACAGTGCCCACACTAAGAAACAGACGCTCTGCTCTACATTCCTTCTATTTGCACACCGCTCCTCAGCTTTCTCCTGGTGTGTATATGCGTCTAGGCATCCATGCACAGCGTTCAAGGAAAATCTTGATCTCTCAGTGCCTGGCTTCCTCCACGCTCCTCAGCCCCAGCCTACATTCCCCAGCTGAGAAGAGCAGGGCAGATAGGGGAGGTCAGAGAGGCCGGACGCTAGGAGGAACCCTTTACTCTCCGTTTTCCTGCACAGTGACTCGCACCCACTCACCTGCTGTCTGAACCTCCCCCCACTCCCTCAAGTCCTTCAGAAGTAGAACTGCTGTTCTTAGCTTCTCAACAGCTGAAAAGCTAAAGGCAACACTTCCCTTTCCTCACAGCGTCTACGAGGCCAGAAGTAAAAAGGAGGTGCTACTAACTTGTATGTATCCTAAGATGAGTACAGTCATGCCGATTCCTGCGTAGATGCCAGAGTATTTGATCACTTCATCTTCAAGGTTCATCAACCTTAAAAACAGGGGAAAGTGCTGAGATTTATAAGTAGGATCAGCTGTCAAAGGTTGCACTGGTAGGTTTAGAGGGCTTTAGAATAAACTCACTGTCATGCATTCCTGTTAACTATTCACATGCAGAGAAAGGTTTTTAACAAGCCAGTTGGGCTGCCTGGAAAGGCTTCTGTAATCGGAGAAATGTCACATTTATTGATGGCAACACTGGTCTTTAAGCGCTAGTTAAATGATGCAGATCCTTTTTCTCTGGGAAAGGAAAGGAGGCCAGAGAGGAAAGTTTCTTTAGCGAACTTGTCCTCATCCTGAATAATGATTTCAGCTGTCTACCTGAGCGTTTCTTTCACAGAAAAGACCATTTTCTCTTTTGTGTGCTGTGCTTCAGATTTCAAGTGTGGAATCCTAGGGTCTAGCTAGAACACGAAAATGATCTCATATACACCCATAAAAATTGAGAGTTTTAAAAAAATTTCAGTCAATGGGTCTCTTGGGTTTACTTTCTTACAGTTTTCTTTTTACTCCCCCCACCATGAGCCCTTAGTTGCCTTGATATCATATGATAAGAAGTTATATTTCCTCTATTGAATTTCTTTACATCCTTATTTTAAAAAAATAATAGACATACTTATTTTCTGTGGACAGATTTCTGAATATTATCTGTCCTCCATCAGTATCACATAGTCTCTCTTGCTGTAGCTACAGTTGATACTAACATTTGGTAGGTTTATTTTATTTTTAATGAATTTGCTTCTATTCTTCTGCCTTTCAATACAAATTTTAAAGTAATCTTGCCTATATTGTAATCAAAGTAAGTGTCCAAGCCTTCATTCCTCCATGAAGAAAATATAGCATATATACACAATAGAATACCACTCAGCCCTTAAAAGTGAGGGGACAACCTGTGAGCTCAAAGCCATTTTATGAAGAGAAATAAGCCAGATGCAGGAACTGGTATCACACAGTCTAACTTAGATACAGCGTCTAAAAAAAGTGGAAGCCATAGGTAAGAATAAAATGGTGGTATCCAGTAACTGGGAGTGAGGAAATCCGGAATTTTTTTTTTTTTAATCAAGAGATAGAAAATTTAGTAGAAAAAGAAGAAAGTTCAACCAAACTACACCTAGTAACTGGGTTTTTGTATAGTTGAGAAATGCTAAAGGAAGGATTTTAAGTGTTTTCATCACAAATATATATATCTTGTATATATATATATATATATATATATATATATATATATATATACAAGAATACAAATGTTCTACAAGAATACAAAGGCAATTTTAATGTATTAATTTAAAAATTTATCAAAGACCTAAGTAATGAAAACAGATCCATATCAAGCAAAGAGACTGAATCAACAATCAAAATCACTCAAAGGTAAAACTCCAGACTAGATGGCTTCAGTAATGAATTTTACCAAATAGTTAAATATTGATATCAAGTATTTAAAAACTTTAAAAAAAATAGACTTCGAAAGAAACACTTCCAAATTAATTCTGTGAGCCCAGTTTTAGTTACCTAATTCTGAAAGACTATGAAAGACCAAGAATTACATGCTGGTATGTCTAATGGATATAGTCCCAAGAGTGCTCTGCCACTAGGAGACCAGGGGAATGCTCAGTTGATAAAGCGCTTGCCACATAAACAAAAGGACCTGAGTTTGATCCCACCATTCATATAAAAAGCCAACCAGAGCAGCATAAACCTGTAAAGCCAGCACCGGGGAAGCAGAGACAGGAAGGCGTTTAGAGTGCACCTGCATAATCTCTTCCACCCACAAATTCTGAAACTTTTTTTTATTTGTGTGTAGGGTAGGGAGAGGTCTGAGACGGCATCTCGATTAGCCTGGCACTCCAATGAAGACCAAGCGGCCTTGAGCTCATGGCAATCTTCCAACTTGTGCCTCCCAAGTGCGGGATTACAGTCATGTGCCGCCAGGCCCAGCTTAGATCCTTAATTTAGTCATACCTGCTTAGACTCTTTTTTATGTATAACTTTTCTAGATTACAGGGGTTAGGTCCCAGACATTACAGGGAATCATTTGGCCTTCTTTAGCCACTGTCAAAATACAGATAATAATATTAACAATTGTTAGTGGAGGTAGTGAAAATTATAACCTTATACACCGTCAGGGAGAAGGCAAGTGGTTTAGATACTTTGAAAACAGCCTGACAGTTCCTCACAGGATTGCACCTGAATGGCCTGGCAACTGTGCCCTGAGCCACCTAACTACAAGAAATGAAGTCATACGTCCGCACAGAAAACTGTACACAAACGTCCGAAGTAACATTATTTACAATAGAAAAAAAAACCAGAAAAATTAAATTACCACCAATGGATGAATAAGATGAAATAAAACATTACATCCATAAAGCAAAATATGCACAAATAAAAATAAGTAAAATACTGATTCATGCTACAACACAGAAAAACCTCGAAAACATTATGCTGTTTTTAAAAAGCCAGCCTGAAAGGGCTGCATACTGCGCGGCTTTGTTTATATGATATCTCAAGAATAAGCTAATGTACAGAAAATCAATCACTGTTGCTGAGACATGACATGGCAAGTTAGAGAGGGTACAGATTTTCTTTTTTCCCTCTAGTTGTAAATGAAAATATCCTGACACTGATTAAAGTGGTGGATAGACACAGAACTCTGAGAACTTACTTAAGACAAAACATAACAACAACAACAAAAAAACACCTACACGCCACATTTTAAATGGAAGAATTTGTGGTATAGAAATTGTTTTCCTATATCTCCGATATCCCCCAATATATTTAATGCTTACTAAACTGAACCAGGATCTATATGGCCAAAAGAATAAGCCAGAAATTATAGAGTATCTCTTCCATGATTAAGTTTTTTTTTTTTTAAGTGACTTCTACTTTTTTAGACTCTAATGGAGTTGGGGGAGGAAAGATTACTATGATATATTCTCTCATCAGATTTCTTTCTTTCACAGTTCTGTTTTACTATTCTGAGGAGGAATTCTGGCTAATAGGAGACCTGATATTCTTTATTCTTTATAAGTGTTACCAATGAAGAACTATTTGTAAGAATTTATTTTATTTTATTTTATTTTATTTTATTTTATTAATTACATTTTATTCACTTTGTATCCCCCCATAAGCCCTTCCCTCCTCCCCTCCCGGTCCCACCCTCCCATCCTCTTCTTCACACATGCCCCTCCCCAAGTCCACTGATAGGGGAGGTCCTCCTCTCCTTCTTTCTGATCTTAGTCTATCAGATCACATCAGGAGTGGCTGCATTGTCATCTTCTGTGGCCTGGTAAGGTTGCTCCCTACTCAAGGGGAGGTGATTAAAGAGCAGGCCAATCAGATTATGTCAGAGGCAGTCCCTCTTCCCATTACTATGTAACCCACTTGGACACTAAACTGCCATGGACTACATCTGGGCAGGGGCTCTAGGTTATCTCCATGCCCGGTACTTGGTTAGAGTATGAGCCTCTGGGAAGACCCCTGTGTTCAAATTTTCTGGTTCTGTTGCTCTCCTAGTGGGGTTCCTGTCCTCTCCAGATCTTACTATTTCCCACTTCTTACATAAGATTCCATGCACTCTGCCCAACAGTTGGCCTTAAGTCTCAGCATCTGCTTTGATAGTCTGTAGGGCAGAGCCTTTTAGAGGCCCTCTGTGGCAGGTTCCTAGGTTGTTTCCTGTTTTCTTCTTCTTCTGATGTCCATCCTCTTTGCCTTTTGGGATGGGAATTGAGCGTTTTAGTCAGGGTCCTCTCTCTAAAATCTGTACATCTAAAGAAAGAATTTAGCTTTAACATCCTACCCAACAGATTAAAGAGGTATGTGGACTCCAATATAGCAAAAGTACAAAAACAACTCCTGCCACTACTTGCACACATAGTTCACTCAAGTTATTGAGTGAAGTACAGACTAACACATCTATTATGCTATGTGGCAACATTATATTCTTAACAAAAAACTTTTCCAAGAAAGGATCTGGAACATGTTAGCTAACTTGAGTGGCATTTTAGCCCCTGACACATGAGAAAATGCTGTATCCCTTATCCTGAGATCTACCCAACTCCACTTTTACAATGATCTTATCCAACAAAAGATAAAGGGGTAGTACTCACAGCACTGGCTACAGTAACTCACAGTAAAAGTGTTTGAGTTCCTGGTAAAGGAATAATCTAAGAAAGGTGTGCCCTAACCCACTTTATCTTAACCATATGATTATTTTAAAAGAGGAAGGCAAATGACCGTTTTAAAATGCTTCATCTTTTTATTATACTTTACCAAATGATCATTTAAATACTTGTATCGTGTGAATTCATCTGAGGCCCATGTTCTTCTGAAAGCTCCAGTTGGCAATATTCATTCAATTCCAGGTATAAGGCCTGATAATAATGAACCAATGAGTGGTAGTAGCTACAAGGAATTCTCTGCTTATCAATGTCTGTGATGTAAACACCAAAGGTAGATTCATCAAATTCATCTAACAAATGTCTACAGGCAACTAAGACGCTGGAAATGTCTCACAATTTGACCTCTCTAACTTTTATTGTCATGATTCAATGCCCAAGTGTTACCAACGGTGATATCACTCTCAAAAAAGTAGAGCATTTCTGCCCTCCAACAGAAATGAAAAGCTTTAAAGGGCTCCTCAGTCTCTTTATAGGAACTGCTGAGGCTCTCAGAAGAAAATATCCTTGAAAGCTTAGAGAAACATAAATTCAGATGCCAGCAAATTTATTTCTGAAAATTTGGCTTGCTATTTTTTTTTAAATTTACTTTTAAAAATATGGATGTGCCACATATGCAAGTATGTACGTTCTTGTGACGGACGCACACGCACATTTTCACCTTATTTTTGAGACAGGGTCTCTCCCAGCTGCTGTAGCTCACTGATTGACTATACTGACCAGCCATGAGCTTTGGGTTTCCTCCTGTCTCTTCCTGCCCCTTCCTCAGCTTTGGGGTTCAAGATGGAGGCACTGTAATTCTTGATTTTTATGTGGGTGCCCAGGGATCTGAACTGGAGTCCTCACGATTGCATTGTGAGCCCTGCACCCACTAAATGATCTCTGTGGCCTCTGCTTGTTAATTTTCTAAGGATAATTCTGTGTATAACAGAATTTTGTGCTTTTCCATCACCTAGCATCCACTAGTTTGTAACCAATATTTAACGAATGATCATTGCATGAATGGCTGGCTGGCTGGCTAGACCAAAGTTCTGCAGAAATAAGAATGCGACCCACAGGCTAGTGTGTCCTACCTTGGTGCTTACACAAATTCATGTGACTTAATTGACATACAAAACTTTTGGATTGAGGGAATGAAAAACCCTCAAAGCGGATGGCATTATGGAAGAATTCTAATGACTTAGAAAGACTCATAGTTTAAATCAACCCTGTCGACATTTCAAAAATCAATATGAAAAATAAACCTTTATCCATGGAAGTCATCCCAGGTGTCTTTCTAGGCAGGATAGGCCTCACCTTTGACTCATGAACTGAGCGCAGGGATTTACGAAAGCTGGGGAACCTGCCCTGCATCTGAGGCAGCACAGGATAAGTGCAAAGTCCACACCACAGCACTGAATCAGCCCGGGTGTACTACAGACTCAGTGTTTGCAGGGTGCTCTGTCGGCTGTGTCATAGCGACAACAGTGGCACAATGACCGAGCTGGTCTGAGTTCTGGCGATTTCTTCGGGGCCACTGAAAGGGTTAGACTAACTTTGTAACCTGTATGTCTTCTAAAGCCTATAGTTTTGAGTTTTAGGTTCAGGTTAAGCTAAAGCCTCTTAGTACCTTTCCAGAGAATGGAGAAATGTGACCCTATCTGTGAGGACAGATAGAAAAAAAAAAAAGCAAGCAAGCAATGACCTTCACTCAGCAAAAAGAACGACCAGACCCTTGCCTTCAAGATAGTGTTTCTTAGCAACGAACCCAGACTTCTTCTGAGTAGCTTTTGACCTCCAGCCAAAAGTCTGCAGCCCCTAATCTTCAAAGATGAGCTAACCACCCCCACCTTCAATTGCAGCTGCATCCACACTTGGCAGGACTGGCCAAGCTTGAGCACCTAAGACTAGCCAATTATCTTACTTTATAGCTTCCTCATCCAATCCTAAATTGCCAAAACTGCAACTTCAAATCTCCCGCAATTTTTCTTTTAAAAACCTAAAGGCCTTTGTCTCCCGGTGCCACTCTTTGCTGACCAGCAAGCGTGGCCCCATTGCGCAATGGTTAATAAACCTTTTGCTTCTGCAACAAGTTTCTGGGAAGGGCGCGATCTTGAACTCCTGAGCTGTGAGACCCCAGGTCTTACACCACCTTCTTGTCACAGCACCACATCACTCTTCTACGGAAACTCAACTATTGGCTAGAACTATTGATTCTCATTCCTCTAATGTAGCATGCTAGTGCAACTCATGGAGAGAGGAGAAAGCCAAGGGGCTTGGTGGGGAAGTCCCTTGTCTAGGAGACTTGAGTGAAATTCAATCATCTTCTTAGTGGCAGAAAGTATGGACAGTGTCATGCACAGGAGCCAAGTGGCTCATTGTTGGTGTAGTATTTGATCAGCAATCTGATGACATTTTGAAACCTGGAAGGGTGGAAGCAACTACAAGGTTAAAGAATTTCTTTCAAAGACGGGTACGTTTGTTTTTTCTGTTATTTCGTGTGAGACACCATTCCAACTCAGTCAACACTGTCTTTGGATGTTTTTGAATTGTAATCTAAGATAGAACAAAAGGAAAATGAGCTTACCCACAGGGTGTTCCATTTGTCATGTTCTGGCTGAAGGAGCTGTTGATCCATACAATGGTGTTATTCATGCACACTTTCCCTGGAATCTCAAGTTCTTGTCTTTCGATGTCATACTCAATAAAAATATCTGTCATTATACCAAAAACAAGAAGTATGCCGGGATAGGTCACTCCGTGGAGCACTGCGCACACACTTCCTACGAACATCAGCCAGATGTCGGTCGATGAAGAAAATCGAAACTTGAAAAACAAAGGGTTCAGAGATTATCTATATGTGAAAAGCAGGCGGTGGAAGCAGGAGGGTTCTTTAATTTCACTTAGAAATAGCACTCAACAGCAGGTGCTTGTGGGGTGTCATCTTTGAGCATCTGTGTTCACACTAATTATGTAGAAGCCCTATCTCCATCGATTGTCTAAAATATCAGACTCTCGCATGACATCCTAACCTTTGAATCTGTTCTCCTCAGGTCAGGAGCTGACTTTACTCTCTGGCAAATCATCTTCCCAGATGCCATTGCCAGGTAGACATAGTGAGTAAGCATTCAACAATGCAGTAAGTTGGCTCTCAGCCCAGAGAACCCCACCAGATAATGGGCAGGTTTTTGCTTAGAAATGCCCCTATCCTAAGCCAGGTGGTGGTGGTGCACCCCTTTAATCCCAGCTCTCAGGAGGCACAGAGGCAGGCAGATCTCTGAGTTCAAGGCCAGTCTGGTCTACAGAGCATGTTCCAGGACAGCTAGGGCTACAAAGACACTCTGTTTTGAAAAACCAAAAGAAGAAGAAGAAGAAGAAGAAGAAGAAGAAGAAGAAGAAGAAGAA